GTCAGCTGGATTAAAGAAGAGAAGCCTGTGGATGCTGAGGCAAAGGAAGGCTTGCAGGGGCCCTGGAAAGAGAGAGAAGTGGAGATGAGGAGAGGCAGAGTGGATGCGATGCTCACTCAGGACTGTCCGGTCATCTGTTTACAGTATATAAAGACATAAGGCCTTGGCACGGGGCCATATCCAGAGCAGTCATCCACCAATCCTGTGACGGTCCATCCCAACTCCATCAGGAGTCCCCCCCCTCCCCACCATCACCCTCCTCCCGTGAGCTGAGCTAAGCTGACTGACTACCTGCCTACCAACAGCATTGCCTCTTTTCTTTTCTTTTTTTTATATGTATATGATGAGGATTATTTTTGGCAGTGTTTTTCCCCTCCTCATCTTTACTGGATATTCCAAAGCCCTAGAAAAAAAATCCCTCAGGAAAGGAGAAAGGGGTTTATAAAGAAGTCAAATGAATGGCTCACACTGAAAAAAGTTCCAAAGAAATGGTCCCAAAATACTTTTATGAGTGCATTTAGGACTTGTATAGTAACTTTGCCTCAGAAATGTCTCCATCCTACAACTCTGGACTTTCACTACTTCACAGGAGCTCAAATGCTGCTGCTGCTGCTTAAATTAGGAGTGATGCAAGTTTATATTTGGCACATCTGCAGAGTTTCACACCAGTTACTGTAGTTTGAAACATTTTGAATGTCTTTGTTATAGGATCGTATTTGCACTAATTTGGGGATTAACCTCTACCAAGTAAGTATTCCCGATTTTTGTTAGGAAGAACAGCAAATTACTTTGAAAGCAACATTTTATTTCAGATTGACAGCTGGACATGATTATAGCTATATTGTATTATCATTAAGTACAACATCTACAAAATTATGTTTAGCTGACACAGTGAATTGTGCAGTTATAAATGTATTTATATACAAAATGTAAAAGATTTTCTCTCCTCGACCCTCTCTTCACAATCCTACTATGATCACCATATGAAATCCGCTGCAGCTGTTTCACCAACCTTAAAAAATGCAAATGTGACCTGCAATCCAGCTGTAATAAAAGTTGAAAGAATGTTAGCAATCATCTCACTCCCACTCATCTCTGTGTTAACCACAGGCTTTCCAAGGGAAAAAATATTTGGGCTGCAAGGCACGTTTCATGAGAGAATGCATGAGTAGCTGTTTCTCCAATTTAGGTGGGCGGCTGGCATGCCATCATAAGCCATGCTGTAGAGAATCATCTAAAGCTTTCTCGCGTTACGTGTTTCCTGGTTAAGGTTGAGTATGCAGAGGATATCCCACATCAGTGGAGTGCAGAGGCAACTCGGAGACCTTACGTGAACTGAGATTTGAACCAAGCTGTGATATTTTTCACCCGCTTTGAATCAACAGAAAGAGGACAGAGATGTGGGAAAAAAGGCGCTGGTAGTCTAGCAACTAAGGCATCCCTGGAGAAGTGACCCCATCTCAACCACCCTGTTTCGACTCACGCAACAACCAAGGCAGAAACCGAGCTATGGGCCTGCCCAGCCAGGAGGGTACGGGGGGGGCAGAGGTCCCATCAGTGGGCACAAGAAAGTGCAGGATGTCCACGGAAAGGACAATGTGGGGAGGGTGGGGCTTGGCACCAGAGTGCACCCATCATGCCATTCCCCTCCCAGGACACTCAACTGTGCAAAGCACTGTTCCAACACTGTAATTTGGACTAAAAATAATGGACTTTCTTTCCTCCTTCCTTTTTTCTAAATACTGTGGCTACTTTTTTCAATCCTGTGGCTCACCAGAATGGTCGTTCGCCCCTATCAAAGCGTACATGTGCAGGACCTCTCACTACATCTATGTGATCATACATGTCACATTGATATCGCACTTATAACATGGCTGCAAGTTGCAATTGTATGAGATGACGTCAACAAATCCTGAGTAAAGATTTTCTATTAGAAATAATAAAGAAGCAATTTTTTTTAATTTGCTGAGTGAGTTTATTCTTAAATCATTGGTGCTTATGTTCAGACACATCCTGGGGCTACTGTTGCAATTGATATGTATAATGTGCAATGTTTGGACAACTCCACCTTGGGACATTTAGTGCTTCTGCCATGAATCACAGGACAATTTAGTTTTCAACACACCTATATTTATGTTGCCACTAAAGTTGTGCAACTGGAATTTTCCTCCGTGTAAAATGTCACGTTAACCGAATATGTAAAACAGGTATTTAAGAAACAAATGACTATATTATTGCAGAATAAAGTTTAAAAAATAAATAATTAAAAAGAATCTCTTGCTATATTCTGAGTTCAAGAGTGAACTGCTGCTGTATACGCCTGCTGTGCAGTGCTTGTATGGCATGACACAGCACAAACACGCTGTGTTAAACAAGAGGTAGTTTCAATTCGGCGTTTGGTATTTTGTTCAAGTTAACTGAAACCGTAAAGCATGAGAAGGGACCCCAGCTTTGTAATCTACACTGTGCAATATATCATTAATATGCTGCAATGTTACCCTCAGGAATGCCATGTTTGTGGGTGTCCTACCCCAACAAGTCCATTGAAGAGACCCAAACCTTGTCATTACAATTCCAATGATAATGACAGCTTTGAAAAGTTCAGGGTTATTTCAGTTTGCTCTCTTCACTGTCATAGTAATTACCTTTAAATTTAGTCTTCAAGCTCTGTTCACGATGCCAGAGCACTGAACGCCCCTATATGGTTCAACTTACAGTATAGCCACACACAACTCGTATTGCGATATCTACTTTTCTTTTTTTCTTCTTTTTTTTCCAATTTGATGAATAATTTGCACTGGACACTCAGGCTCCTGCCTGCAGAAAGCTGAACAAGATGATATGAGAGAATTCAGTGGTTTTGAGCTTGAATTACGACCTGCACTAACTTTACATTGTTTCTATTGGATGAGCTTCTTCGAAGATGTAAGCCAACTGCATTTATGTTGATCATAGTGGTTTTCCCATAACCTCGGCAAAAAACAACTGTGGGGATAGCAAAGAAAAAAACACAGTTCTTTTCAGGACAACATGAACAATACTGCTGACAGGAGCCAAATGTGTCTCATGTCATCATGTGGGAGGAGATCATGTGAAAACAGATCCTGTTTGATAGTGCCCAGCTTGAGACTACTATAATTACAAGACAAGTGACAAATACAGACAGTCCTATGTCAGCCTTGCATGTTGTTCAGCAGAACAGACATTTGCACATCATCTCTGACAGTGATTGATTGAGTCATCGAGTAGCTAACTGAACACTTTACCTGTAAAGAACAAGGTCGGAAGTGCTCTTCTGCAGTTGGAGATACAAAATACAAAACTGCAAACACAAAAATGAAAAAGAATCTGTTACTTTTGGTTTTAATTTATCAAACGACAGCAAAACACAGCACCTTTATGACACTTCATTGCAAAAACTGTTTGTTTGTTTTTTAATAATCAGCCAATAAATAACTTGTATAATGTTTGCAGCCAAAGGAAAAGGAACAGTACTACATGTAAACTACATAAAATTTTTCTATAGGGGTGAAACCAGACCAGCATGCAGTTCATACAGGCACAGGTTTGAGTAATGTAAGAATATTAATTAAAATAAATAAGTTACTGCTGGGGCATCTAAGTACTTTGTTTTCATGGTCATCTCTTGTACATGTTGGCTCACCATCACGGCTTAAGCCATTTGAGCCAATGTTCATCTTATCTGCACCTTACTATCATAAAATACACTTATAATAATCTATCTATCATACTATCAAACTAGGTCAGAAGTGACTGAATTTCAATTTTCTTGGAAAATACATGGCACAAAACTTGTCATTTAATTTGTCTATGTTTTCTTTTTTCTTTCTGTCTTTTCCTTTCTTTTCTCCTCCAGCAGCTGCTGGCAGTTTAATGGTGTGGGGGATATTTCCTTGGCTGCCCATGTCCATGCCTTTATGATCACAGTGTAACCATCTTCTGATGACTGCACCAGCAGGATAATATTTGTTCACCTATTTCTAACAAGGAATACTTAATAAAATTGCAGGTAAGTGCAAGATAAAGAAAAATCACTAACAAGCCAACAATCTCCTTTGAATAGCAGTTAAAGATACTGAACATGAACTATCCCTTTCTGTAGCTGCTTCTAAATACACATCCTCTTCCACTTCTCTTGCCTACGGTTTGCCACAAGGTTATGTTTTAAGCCCCAAAATCTTTCTAAGCAACAGCTCTCACATAGGTGCTTAGACTCCATTAAAAGTTGGAAGGCTCCCAACATCCTGGTTTGTAGCCCTGACAGATTTGTGTCTAAGGTAATGGAAACTCTAGCACCCCTTGCCACATTTGGTAAATCTTCTATCAGGAACTTTGGAATAACTTGTGACTCCGATTTCACATTGGACAATCAAATCTCTGGTTTGCTCTTGTTTTTATTACTTAAGAAATATTGCCAAGTTAAGTGCCACTGTATCAGGCTGTGAACTGGAAATTGTTATTCATGCATTCATTTTATTTTGTCTAAGCAAAACCTCCTTGGAACCACCCAAGGTTGTTTAGAACCCAGCTGCAGGATTTCTGACTCTTCTGAGTGTTGCTGACCCAGATGCACTGGCTCCCCATTATGTTCACGGTCCATCTTAAGATTTGGCCTTTGACTTTTAGAGCTGTGCATAGACAAGCACCATCATACATTGGAGATTACATGCACATGTCCCAAGTAGGTCCCTGAAGTTATGTGACTATAGTGTCTGCTGGTTGTTCATCATAAAAGGCTGAAAACTACGGATACAGCGCTTTTTTAACAGTGCCACCTCCACCCCAGACTCAGGAACGCTTTCCCTGTGGGCGGGAGATCTGTGGACTCGGTTCTCTTAAAGAAAAAAACTAAACAGCTGTTACTATTGAATAAAAAACAACGGAATTGATGGAGACGGCTAGCACAACCATTGTAACGAGCTATTTGTTGCATATCAATAAAGTTTATACAAAAAAAAGTCTACCTCGTGTCCTTGGCAACAACCTTTGACCCAAACATTCCCAGCAGGTTACTGGAGCTACTCATCTTTCAGTGTTATTATTTGCCCTCAGCTTTTCCTCTTTGTTCTAGCACTCGGTTGTTGTAGCAGTAATTGTAGCAGCGATGCCGACGAATAAAGCCTCCAACCCTAAAAAGGCCAAAGGCGGGTAAGTGTGCGTTTTGTTGTTGTTAGCCGAGCTGAAGTACAAACGGAAACTTGAACTCCTCTTTGGGTTTGGTTTCAGGAAAGAAAAGAAGGAAGGCAAACGGGACTCGAAAACGGACAAAGAGTCGGACGTGGAGAAGGCCAAGGCCAACGCCGTCCTGTGGGAGCTGAGGTTAAAGGCCACCGAGCAGTCCCTGAGGGACTACACCGAGTCTTGTCAGAAGGTGGCACGCGCAAACGAGCATCTCACCAATCAGCTGTACCACGCGGAGAAAGACGCGATCCATATAGCAGGCCACTGGGAGAGACAGCTGGCAGCTAAAGAGGAAAAGGTCCCGGAATAACTCAACTGAACATTTTAAAGCAGTGCCAACCGAAAGTACAATAAAAGCTAATACGAAATTGTCAAACTTTCATATGTGAGGTGTAAATCAGGGGTGTCAAACATAAGGCTGGAGGGCCAGAATCGGCCCAACAAAGACTCCAATCTGGCCCTCTATGACTTTGGAAAGGAGGGCATAAATGTAGGATTTTTCTACTGATATAGACTTCAGACCAAAGATGAAGCCAAAATTAATCAAGTCATAGATAAACAATCAAATGATGGAAAAGTTTCTGTTTTTTCACTATTTACTACAAAAATGTATGCTTTATATCCACAGTGGGGAAAAATGAATAAGAAATTTAAAGTAAATTAAGCAAACCTTTATGTTTTATAATAGTTTAGGCAATGTGCTACCAGAACGTTTTGAGTATATTACACATTAATTTCTTATAATTTAAACCAACATTTAAATTATCAGTTGTGCTGACAGATTTCTGTCATTTACTACTGTAGCATTTCTTTATATGTAGAAAACTGAGACTTACTGCTGAAATTGCACTTCTTTTCTTTTATGAAGATATCTCAAGGATCAAATGTGTACTTAAAGTTCTTTCCACCAACAGAAAGGGGAGATTTACTGGACTGGCCCATTTAAGATCAAAGTTGGTAGATTAGGATAATTTCTACTTTCTATATACAACACCATAAAAAACAAAAATAATTTATTGAATAAAGAACAAAAATACTGCTGACCTGGCCTATAATGACACCAACCTCTCTCCCAAAAACCTTGGTAGTCCTAACGAGGATCACCCTGTACAATCGCCAGTGCCTAGTGTCCTAATTCCTAGTTCCCATCTTAGCGCCCCCATTTTATCATTATTTCTATTTGTATTTCATTAATTACCTCTCCTTTTCAGCATCCTTATTGCTATCAAGAAGTAGTAGAAATTGTAGCAGCAGTAGTGATGGTGTTATTACTAATGTTATTACTAATTATATTATTATAATTGTTGTTGTTGTGATTTTTTGATATCACATATATTCACATATGGAAAAACATCAGTAATTTCCACATTTTTCTCAAAATTGATTTTTGACTTTATTTTTTAATATGGCCTGTAAATGGCCTGTATTTATATAGCGCCTTACTAGTCCCTAAGACCCCAAAGCGCTTTACATATCCAGTCATCCACCCATTCACACACTGGTGATGGCAGCTACATTGTAGCCACAGCCACCCTGGGGCGCACTGACAGAGGCGAGGCTGCCGGACACTGGCGCCACCAGGCCCTCTGACCACCACCAGTAGGCAACGGGTGAAGTGTCTTGCCCAAGGACACAACGACCGAGACTGTCCGAGCCGGGGCTCGAACCGGCAACCTTCCGATTACAAGGCGAACTCCCAACTCTTGAGCCACGATCGCCCCTCAATATGATCAACAATATTTTTTCTTTCTTAATGTGGCCCTAATATTCCGTCGTAATCTTTCACAGTAAACACTCTCTGTTTAAAAAAGCTCAAAGTGTGCAGTGTGTGGCCCATGAATATGTAAAATTAGGTTGACAGCCCTCATGTAAGTGATCAATGTGGTGTTTTCTTGGATGATTTCAACTGTCACTTTACAGATTTGTGTGCTGGAGAAGGCCTTACAAACTCAGCAGGCACTTGCCCGAGAAGAGAAGGACAAATTGGTGAGTTCATATAAAACTCAGCCACACTAAAAGAAAGACAGGCACTTTCACATCTGGTCCACGAAACATGCTCCACATGCCTAGTATGTACATGGCAGAAAACTCCAGTAGAGCTTGTGATTTACTGTACTCGTGTTAAACCTGTAGCATCACAAAAATGTGCTGCGCTGTGTCTCAACAGCTGTCTTGTGTGCAATTATGTGGATATTTATTATGTAAGAAAACAACCAAACAAAGTGACCATAAAGCAAAAAACAAACCCCACACATTCCAAGTTACATGGTCCAATGTTATTTAAATCCACGTCAGTGGCTACAGGGGGGAAAAGCATAATTTAAAAGTGCTTGGTTGGAGAAAAGCAGTCTCGTTGCTGGTCTTGATGTGTTAACCATACCTCACATATCACACATATCCTTACGCTAAAATGCAATTTCAAGTTATATAACATGCCCTAAAGGAACTTTTGACTCTTCCATCCCTGCACTCAGCTTCTTATAATTAAAATAAAGAAATTTTGCATTGCTTGCTTGACAAGTGGAGACGGAAAAAAAAATGTACAGAAAGCCTTTTGCTAGCAGCTGTTTTCCATCCTCCAGCTCTTTTTACATGATGGATGAAAAAAGAAGCCTGGTTTGGACCAACTTAAAACAAGCCTGTTACATAAATGTATGGACCTCTCACATACGATCAGCCAGTGGAAAATTCTGTGGCTAACTCCAGAGATGTGACCCAAAACATGCTGTTTACAGCCCCTTTCTTACTGTAAGGTCACATGAGCTGAATGCTTAATCCTTCCTGGAAGACATCGAGTTGGCCTAGGATGCAGCGTTGGCATATAGGGCCTATTTTTGCCACCCTCTCTTGGCTTTCAGTGAAATGTAGAATTCATTTTAAAAAGTTTTTTTTCGTGGACTCTACATGGTCTGGCTTATACTACAGGCCTGCAGCCTCTTTAATTATGTTATCAGTGTTTTTTAACTGTTCTTAAAACCAAGAGGTGACCACGTTTTTGATGTTTTAGCAACCAAACTGGAACAGCCTTTCCCCTTCCATCAGGTTGGCTGATTCAGTAGTTTTTGCTAAAAGCTCATTTTTGTAGGTTATTGTTTCCATAAACATTCATTCCATAGCTTCTATGTCAGTATGACTGCTTATCTCTGTGTAATGTATGTTTTGATGACTATCCAAACTATTCCAATAGTGATAAGCTGTGTTTTAAAACAGTTATTTTTATAACTGTCCTGCATATGTTCAATTTGCAGCATCAGGAAAAGACATATTTAGGCTGTACTAATCGCTGTGAACTTTAAACTGGAAGGTATTTTTGGAAGGCTTGACCACTTGATAGATCCCACACAGTGAAAATTGCAGATGACGCAAACCAGCTTGTGTAAATACTGTCGAGTGGCTCTCTGAAGTCGACGAATGCGAACGGAGTTATCTGCAGAATAACGATTAGGCCTAACGTTGTAATCAGATGGTTGATAGCCTCTCATTTACTCGTCATGTACATGTTTGTGGGTGCGTGTTTTTCTAGTTTCTCATGACTTTGGTCATTTTGTCACATTTTGCTCAGACTGGCTTCTCCACAGTAGCATCTTGAGGTATTTAGCATGAGTGATCTGTGCTGAAGTCAGTTTGCAAAAGAGCATTGGCCATTTGAACTCCACGATGAAATCTTCCTAAGTATTACAAGCTGCACTTGTGGGATGTTTGCACCAGATCCAGTCTAAGTGGATTTATGCGTACAGTTGAGACATGGCATTTAATACCCAGGATTCTGTTTTTGTGTCTGTGTGTGTGTGTTTGTCTAATTCAAAAGGTCAGTGAGCTTAACATGATCCAGGAAGAAATGAGAAAGATGAAAGAAATAGAAGTCCAAAGGGAGCAGGATATCGTTCACGTGAGGACACACAAAAAAAAAACACACAAAAAATACTTATTACATGTAAGGATATTAAAATGTGACCAGTAACCATGGTTTTTCATATTCCAGATGAAACAAAGCAGCGATGATGCTTACAAGAAGCTAATGCAACACCTAAGAGAGAAGGAGGATCAGTTCTTAAAAGAAATGGTAGGAAGTCAGGAATATAATCCAAAAATTCTCCCCCGGGTTTGGAACTACACTAACTGGTCAACTTTGTTAGCTATGTCTTGCTAGGACCGGCTTGGACCCCCTTTTGGTTTTAGAAATGTCTTCATTCTTCACGGCATAGATTTAACAAGGTGCTGGAAACATTCCTCAGAGATTTCGGTCCATATTAACATGACAGCAACACAGTTTCTGCAGATCTGTGATGTGAATCTTCCGTTCCACCTTGTCCCAAAAGTGCTCTTCCTATCGGCTTAAAGCAGTCTGACCATTCTTCTCTCATGTCTGGTATCAACAAGACATTTTCTCCAACAGAACCGCTGCTCACTGCAAATTCTCTCGTTTTTTGGCTGCTGTCTGTAAACTCTAGAGTGAAAAATCCTGAGCAGAGCAGCAATTTCTGAAACACTCAGAACCATTTGGTACCAAATGGTCAAAGTCACTTAAATGACCTTTTTCCCATCTGATGCTCGGTTTGACCAGGTACAAATGTCTAAGTGCAAAAGATGTTGGTGAAAAAGAAGCTCTAATATTGAAAGTTGAAAGAGTGAAAAAGCTGTAAATTTCCCTTCAGGAACGCTTGGAGAAAGAAACAAAGGCATGTAGTCAAACAATGGCCAAGATGGCGGAGGACCACCGTGAAGCCATTGTGTGAGTCCTTTGTTTGTTTGTTTTGCTGTCACTTTACAGTCTAATTTTGCTCTATAAATTGCACTGTCATGCAAAGTGCAAAGAGAAAATAATTTACTCATATGAGTGATTATGTATAAAAATAGATTTCGCTAGAACTGATGTTATTTTTTTGACCACGCCGGCTCGTCATGTTCCAAGGAACACATCCTCAGCCATGCTGCAGCGAGGAAAAAGTAAAGTGTGTGTGTGGAAGACCATAGTTTATTACTTTTGAGGCCATAAGATGTGCACTGCCTCTGCTGTGTTTAGTTATTTTTTACAGCTCATAAAACATTTACATTGATACTGGTGTGGTCCTGTCGGTTTGATCTTGGTGTCGGTAATTGATTTAATTTTGGACACATGTGGGTGATCTTAAAAAGTCAAGTGCAGTCATTCAGTTAATTCACTTTACGAGACTTACAAAAGAAAATGTCCTTATTATATTATTGTAATATGCACTACTTAATAACTTTGAAATATGCAGTCATGGTAAAAATAATATTTTCTTTGAATTACATTCAAGTTTTGTGTATCAGGACATCAACAGATGACATATTTGTCAAGGACATCCTTTAATGAACAAAAACTAAGCCAGAACAAAGAAGCAGTGTGTGAAAAACTAAGTACATCCACACCACCTTTATTGTCTGTTTAAAATACACTGAGCTGAAGTATAATGAAATGTGCTGTATGAATAAAATTGCCATCGTCATTTAGCAGAAATAACGTTACTGTGTGACCGTGTGCCTCTTAAATCATTGTGGAGGAATTCTGACCCACTTTTCTTTACAGTTTTGCTTCAGTTTATTGAGGTTTGCAGCAATTATTCATGCGCAGCTTAAGATCATTTCACTCGGGTTAAAGGTGGCGCTTTGACCAGGTCATTGTTAGTCTTTTTCTTTTTTTTGGCCATTCTGTTGTAGATTTGATGCTGTGCTCGGGATCATTGTCCTGACCACTGGCATGACCGAGTCAAGCCTTAGCTATCAGACAGATGGCCTCTCATTTTGAGTCTAGAATACTTTGGTGTACAGAGGAGTTCGTGGTCGACTCAATGACTGCAAGGTGCCCAGGTTCTGTAAAACAAGCCCAAACCATCACTCCTCCACCACCATGCTTGGCAGTCGGTTTGAGGTATTTGTGCTGATATCTTGTGTTTGCTTGTCATGAAATGTGGCACTATAAATTATGGGCAACAACTCAATTTTGGTCTTGTTTCTCCAAAGGATATTGTTCTAGAGGTTTTGTGGTTTGTCTAAGATGCATCTTTGCAAACCGAAGTCATACTGACATGTCTTTTTTTAGAAAGACGAGGCAAAGATGCAATACTTTGTTTGTTTGTTTTTTGTACTGTAGTTACATGCTAACTGGGGCCTTAGTAGTCTTTTTTTAATTTCTCTTAGCTGGAACATCTACTTTTGCAAAGATTGGCAACTTCCTTGAGTGTTTTCCACTTGTGAACAATCCTTCACTGTAGAAGGACTTCAGATTGTTTAAAATGAGCTAATAACCGAGATCATTGCCGATATTTTTCCTAATTGAAATTGTGTCTACACACATCTGAATGCACCAGATGAACAAACTGCCAAAACCTTTGCTTCTGTGAACATGGTCACATTTCATATCATTTGAGTAGCAGCATCTGACTGATAGTTGCTCTCATGATCTCTGTGTAACTAGTACTTAGTTTTCCCCATACACTGCTTCATCAGCCAAGTTGTTCTTGACTCAGTATAATATGCCATGTTTTATAGATCATCTGAGGTTGTGTTTATCTAATTTTAAGTGCTCATAAAGACTAAACACTGATGCACAAAACCTTAGAACTGACAGGGTTTATACTTTTATTTTCATTTTTTGGACTGTATTTCACAAATAAATAAATGAATATTTCTTTTTGCAGCAGGCTAGGAATTGACTGCAAATACTGCTGAACACAATATCAAGACTGGTGCGTGTTCATAACTGTTGATTCATTTTTCAGTGTCTCTCTTTTATGCTGTAAACTGTTTAGGCGATTGAAAGATGCTTTGCACTCTGTGATCAAGGAGCGCGACTGCCTCATTGACAAGCTGAAATATCACATAAAGGAGGCAGAGGATCTGCAGAAGTTAGCAAAGTTACTGACTGAGGAAAACACCTCACTGGCATTGGACAAGGTATGTTTAAACCAAAGGACAGCAAACACCAGAGTAGCTATTAGGCACCAGCAGTCCCTGGACAGAGGCCATTCATCTCCATAAAGACATTTTAAATCACTTTCAGTTATGAAACACTTGTCAGATCTGTGCAGAATATATTTCAGGTGGTTTTTCCCTTGTGTTGTTTACTTGTGCTGATCCTGTGTATTTTGCTTGTGGTCCCACTCCCACCCCCCTCATCTTCTGACTACTATCCAGCCTCTCAGCGGTCAGTGGTTGTGGTGAGTTTCCACTGGTGTCTGGGTTCAAATAAAGTAGCTTATCCTTGGCCGTTTTCTGGCTGTGATTCTTAAACATAAATAAATGCTGGGCACATTAATCTTACCTCTGATGATGACAGCTAATCAGTAGAGTAAACCTGGCTTACTGAAACTTTGACCACTCACTGAGCAGAACAGGCTGGAACACAAGTCAAAATTTCTGTTCCTTGTTCTACACTGGAATAAAAGTCAGAGGATTTTCTAAAATTAACTCTGTGTTATCCGTTTCCTGCTCACCTAGAGCATGCTGGAGTTGACGGTAAAGGACAACGCAGCACAGATGGGGACTCAAAAACAGAAGCTAACTGAACTGAGGGCCGAGGTGGCTTCCCTGGAGGAGGCCCTGCAGCTCAAAGCCGTGGAGATTGAGCAGCAGGAGAAGAAAGAGAAGGCGAACCTGGTCACCATCCAGGCCAGCCAGGTGGAGCTGGACAAGCTGCAGAAAGTGCTCGCGATGCGAGAAAAGGAAATGAAGAATGTGAAGCAACTGGCGAGCACCATTGTAGCAAAGCGCCAAGAGCTGGAGGAGTTCTTCCATGAAGCACTGGGTCATGTGAGGAAGGAGATCAAGGACAGCAGGCTCCAATACAGACAGGAGGCACTGCAGAGTTATCGTAGGAGGTTTAGAGAAGCCACAGCAGGAAAGATAAAGTTCCCACCCATCCGCACCTTCCATAAAACTGCCCACAGTACCAACTCTGTCTATTCAGACATGGAGGCGGCTGCAACATGGTAGGTGTCCTGCCCTTCTCATCATTTCCATACGCTGTGTGTATCTTCCTGATATTTTTAATTCCTTATGTTTACTAGTGCTGATTCCCAGCTTGTTCAGTGGTCAGCAAACATCTTTGTGGTTCATATTCATTAAGTAAAGGAATTTACACAACAAAAGTGACACTGAAATGTGATTTCATCTGCTTGTCTTGAAGGACGGATCAACCGGGGAGCGAAGTTGAAATCTCTGATCTCACTTGGGAGCAAAAGGAACAAGTGCTCCGGCTTCTCTTTGCTAAAATGAATGGATGCAGAGAAAGGTAATAAAACGCTGCAATTATTTGTTTATGTTTGACTTAGCAGAAGTCGTGCTGGACGCTTTGTTCGCTCATTGACTTCATCCCGATTTTAATACATTCGAATCCTTTTGTAATCCCCCAGAATGAACTGACACTGCTGCGGCAATTAACTCTGAAGAACAAAGTGCAGTGACACTGTGCAGAGGTTCAGTCACAGCTTCTGATGACTCCTCCCTCTTTTTAATGTTTTAAACAGCCATTTTCTCAGCAGAAGAGGATACCATAAAACATCAGTTAGGCTTCGAGCAATTTTCTTTTCCATGCAGCTGCTTAAAAAGAATGAAGAAAGAGTCTGGGCACAATAGTAAAAATAGGCCCAGGCCGCAGAGTCGTGTGCTTGGAAACAAACATCTGGTCACGTCGATTTGCTTTCACCCTATTGGCCTCTCTTCACGTGCACTCGCAGCTTATTTTGTTCTTTGAACACTTGTGGTCAGAGAGCAGCTGGTAACATGATTTTCAGGAAGGAGTGTGCAGGAGAGCTGGATGTATAGGGGCAAGGCAGGCATGAGGAGAAGTGTATTCAGGTTAACCTCGGTCTGGCAGCTAGACCAGCAGAATAACACAGAACATTTGGCAGCTGAAGTTTGCAGCATGCAAATCCATGTGCGTTGTGCTGGCCCGGAGTAACCCCTTCGCTAGACAGGCTGGAGGCCTCAGTGAAAAGACACCACTGTGCTAAAACATGACTTTTCACTGTGAGGTTCTGTATTTAACCGCAACTCCGCATCTTCCTGACAGCCAAGTCAGCCGACAGGTGGCTCTGCCGGCCTCCACTGAGAAGAGGAGCTTCACGGAGAGCGATGTAGCCGGGTAAGACGCTGAAGGAATGCACAAGAATAAAAACTGTGCCTCATCCTTGCAATTAAGAAGCCCTTTAAGATTTATTGGTCCCCACATTCCATGTTTAGCCAAAAAAGCAGCGGCTGTGAGAACATGAGTGCCTACATGTGATTTATCAACACAGTGGCATGATGATGACTTTCTTCCAGAATTAGAGAGGAGCTGTCCCCGGCGACCATGAGCACCCCGGCGCCATCAGAGTCCACGCTGCCAGCCGCCCAGCCAGATACACACATCACGTGACCTCCGAGTGGCCTCTGTGTCTCACATTAAACTGTGCTTGCGTGTTTCCTCAAGAGTGTTAACACAACTAGAATATAGGATGTTTGTTTGTGCTTGTTCAAAATATCTTACCGTGCACGCATGTGCGGTGTGGCATGTGAGTGCTTTTGCACGTACCTCAGTTTAAAAAAAAGAAAAGAAAGAAAATCTATTTGTGACTACAGAGTGCTGATAAGAACATATGCACCATTTCAGTTTGCTCACACACCTCATTACCTCCACTTACATCCTTTCTTTGCACCTTCCAGCAAGGATGTGACAAGCAGTTGGAACAGAAGTAGCATCTTATAAGCTGAATAGCCGGGTCACCTGTACAAATGACCCCCCACCCACACTCACCCGTGTGGTAAGTGGTTAAAAAGAATGGATGGATAGATGTTTGTTTTTTTTAAGTCATTTTTGAGGGGTTTTATCTTTTATTATGATAGAAAAGGTGAAAGTAGATTGGAAAGCTGGAAGAGAGCAGCAAATGGCTCAGGGCTGTTTCAAACCCAGGCCTGTAAAATTTACAGCTTATCGGTCAGTTGCTCAATCCGGTGAGCTATAGTGTTGCCTGTGTATTGATAGATTTGATATAACGTGTCAGCACATTGACTCTCTCTTATCTGATAAGTCATATACACAATACTAGAACGTAAGCTTGATGAGTATCAGTACAGTGCAGGTGCAGCATTTGCACATTAAGACACTTGATGAATGGATAAACATGAGGCACGTTTACAGGAAGATGCCTCATTGTGGCAGAGGAGAAAAGGGGGTCATGGGAGGAGAGGTGTAAGATAGCATAATCAAAGGCAACCGGTGTGACTCCAGGCAGCTTTCATTTCTGTGAAACACAAACACAGCAAGTGTATAAGAGTTTCAGCAGGTGCTGTATTTCTGGAAATGACATTGACCCAATAATGTTACAGAACTTTTGGATTGCCTTAGTGTTGTCCCCTCACACAATAGCCACATATACATATCTAATATAAAGTCTTTTAATCTGGGGATTATTTATGTATAACTTGTATTTATGAGCTATTCACAGGTGACATATGAATCTGCTTTTGCAAGTGGAGCGTTTGACGTCTCCTGGTTTACAAGAGTAATCAGCAGCGACTGGATGGAGCATTTAGCGTCCCATGGTAGGCATGGTAACGGCAGGACTTTTTAAGGTGGCATCTTCAGCTTTCCATTGTGCGGTGACTGTTTTGATCTGTGTGTAGAACTGGATGCCCTGAAGAGCAAAAATAAAAGCGTTTACATCACATTAAGACAGCTGCTGTGTTTTTACTCTCACAGGCCCAACGACAGGATCCGTTTGTTTTAGTTGCCACTCACTTGTTTTCCGTAGAAGTTCGTGTCCCCTCTGAAGGATCCCCTCGATCCAGTGAAGGAGAACATTGGCAGCGGCACCGGGATTGGAACATTGACTCCCACCTGCAGAAAACAAGCATTGTCCCTTTCATTTCCATAAGTGTAAGGTTTGTAAAACAATTCCCTCAGGTCCTAAATTGCTAGGGACAAGCGAGACGCAGCTGATGAGAGATGCGGTACGTGCGTGCTGTTTACAAAGCAAGCTTACACGATCGCACAAAACAGAGATAAACCTGTGGCTTTTATTTGATGTGTGAAAACAAAGCGTGCTCTTACGAAAAAGGGAGGAAAACAAAAAATATATAAAAATAAAGTTTTGTTGCGAAAACACCAAGAGGCACGGCATGGTTGGTTTAGTGTGTTTTAAACAACGGGAATACGTTTGCATACTTGGGCCTTTTGGCAAAGGTGCATGGGAGAAAAGAAAAAAAAACAGAAAAGTAGATGTTTGTTGCACGGAGGTTTGGAGACGAGTACGGCACATGGCCTGCACAACATTCCCCGACATGTGAACAGCAAACACAGGGCATAACTAGGCTCCACAGGCAAACAAACAGGATGGCCATGTTTTTACTTAACTGTTAAATACGCACCTAGAAATCCCTTTTGAGATTTAATTTTAACAATTCTCACCACCAACTCCCCTCTTCCCCTGAATACTACCTGGAAAAGTTTCTATGCATCCCTATTTTTATTTAACAGAAGCATATTTGCTGTTGCTATTTGCGACTTTCTTGGGTGTGGATGTGGAGGGGAAAAAGGGGTTGCTTAAGGTGTGCATTTTGGGTAGGGAGCAAATAAGGGTATGCTCAACATGGAAAATAATTGTTTTTATTTAATGTGTGAAGGCTTTCAAACAAATATGATGTTCTCTCCGCTTGAGATGGTGCATAGAAACGACAGAGCGGCGTGAATGTCTCCTTTCTCCCTTGAACGAGCTGCACATTTGGACACAGCGGCCACTCACCTGGCCCACATCCACCTCGTGAGTATATTTGCGTGCGGTGGCACCGTTTGTGGTGAAGATGGCTGTACCGTTGCCATAGGGGTTCTTGTTAACCAAACTGATGGCGTTGTCCAGGGAGTCTGCCTCCAGAACGACCAGCACGGGCCCAAAGATCTCCTCGGTGTAGCACTTCATCTGAGGCTGAAAGAGCGCACAACGGAGCACTTTCACCGACTGCAGACATCTTTGTAATATCACTCACGTGCAAGTACTTTTAACACATGAAGCCTCATACTGTGACGTTGCCGAGGATGGTAGGTCCCACAAAGTTGCCGTTCTCGTAACCTTTGACTTTAATATTTCGGCCATCCAGTAGCAGCTTTGCTCCCTCCTCCACGCCGCTCTGGATCAGACTGCAGACTCTGTTCCTGGCTTGGGGAGAGATCAGAGGCCCCAGATCTGCACCAGGCTGGTCTCCTAGCAGGGCCCCAAAAAACAAACAGCTATAAGGTTACACGTTCTGTCACTTGACGGATGCGAACAAACTATGGGCACTGACATTTCGTTGGCCACAAAAGCCAGGACAAGGGGCACTTTGAGGCACTCCCTCTAAAATGGATTCTTGCGGGTTTCCTGTGTATTGTACAAATTAAACTTCATATCGCTGTAAACACACAGACTCATTCTCCATTTTACTTCACATCAACTTCTTTTCTCATAGGATTTGATCCTCTAGACCGCCATTTAGGCCCGAGCCGCAGATCTGGCCACAAATTTGCAGCATGGCTGACTCAACAAGCCCAGCTGACTCCCAATGTGAAGTTACAACAGGCCATAAGGCGAGAGGTGAGGTTAGGGCGGTGTGGGTGGCCCCGAGATGAATAAAACCAAAAACGGGGGAAACGCGCTCAGGAGAACAGGAGAGGCCGAGGTGAAGGCGATGGGGCGTGGTACCTGCATTCACGCGCAGAGCTTTGGCACGTTCCACCAGCTCCGGCAGCCAGCTACGCGCCTCGCCCACCAGTATGGCTGTGGACAGAGCCATGCAGCGTTGTCCCGCTGCCCCGAACGCCGCGCCCACAAGCTGGTTCAGAGTGTTCTCCTTGTTGGCATCAGGCATCACCACACCATGGTTCTTGGCTCCCTACAGTACACAAGAAGTGGTTAGCCCTTTGCCGTTTGATCTCCACATTACAGCAACTGGTTAGTCACAAGCAGGGACATAAAAATCAGGGAATTAGATTAGAAACAAACGACCTACAAATTTCACATTGTAAACTTGGTCCACATTTCAGTCCACGTGAGGCAATGGAACATTTCCAGTTCGCAATCTGGGCCTTTTTAAATGTGATGCACAGCTGCACCATGCACATGCACTCCTCAGTACCATTGGGCGACACAAACACTTGAAACTGTTGGCCAATGCTGCCACCTTCTGGATGTTTAAAGCACATGTCAGACATTAAAACTGTTGCTCACCATGTTGGACTGCACCCTTTTGCCATTTTTAGAGCCCCTCTCATAAATATACTCCCCTGCTTGATTTGAGCCAACAAAGCTGATTGCCTTGATGGCCGGATGGTCACAGATGAAGTTCACAGCTGTAAGAGGAAGACAGTTACAGAGATGACTTAAGTAATGGCAGGTGATTACGGTTTATGATTTAGAGCAAATGTAGATATCTTCATTGTTACACACATTGTTTTTCTGCCAAGATAACTACATTTTCTATCTGAATGATGGATTTTAAAAATAAAAAAAAAAGGATTTAGTGGCGGTAATTTGAGGCTCTAAGCTTATTTGTCGAACATCTTTACATCTTACTGTAACATTACACAGCCACCAGCTCTTACCGTCGTGTTGGCCGTGGATGATGTTGAGCGTTCCATCTGGAGCGCCAGCATCCTGCAGCATCTTACCCAGCAGCATGGCGCATGTGGGCACACGCTCCGAGGGCTTCAGCAGGTACGTGTTGCCACATACCATGCCCATAGGGAACATCCACAGGGGGATCATGGCCGGGAAGTTGAAGGGGGCAATGCCGGCACACACCCCAAGGGGAAGGCGATAGGTGTAAGTGTCCATGTCTTTGGAGATGGAGGGCAGGGTTTCCCCGAGCATCAGGGAGGTGATGCTGCAGGTGTGTTCTACCACCTCTGCACAGAAAGAAGTATGAACCATAGTATTGTCAGGTTTAGCAATTAAAGGATGACTGGCATCTTTTCATTTCACGAGACTTTGTCCTTATGTTCAACACCCCTGGCAGTAGTTGGTTATTTATGTGCACAGGCACGACATTTAAACAAAAGCATGTGTGTGTCAGCTGCTACACCAGGATAAAGTTAGCAAAGGTAGATATCGTGATCTGCATTTTATTAAAATGATGATTCAAGTATGACGTAAACATGAAATATTTTTTTTTATAATGACAACTCCAGCTGTCACAGATACATTATTTTTTATTCTAAGCCAATTTATACAACTACGTCAATAAAAATAAACCAAACTTTTTTCTTTTTTTTAAATGAACCGGGCATATGAAGATGATCTAAAACACCATCTCCATGAAAGAAATAACAGACATAACAAACCACATCAAATCACTGAATTTGAACTAATAATTTTTTCAGGAGCAACTTTGTTAGTTCACATATTACTAAAAACTCATCTCCTTACTGTCCCAGGCCAATTGTTGCATGTTATTTACTATCATAGAAAGGCCTAAAAATATCAAAATTTAATCTTCCACAGAATCAGTCATGTAATAAACCACCCTCTGTCCCGCTTGTCCCATATACAAGATGAAACAGATTAACAAATTCCTCTAAATGAGTTAAGAGCCTACACAAAATGCAAATATTTAACCAGTTGTTGCTCAATGACAAAAAGGACATTGTGTGCATGTGTGTGTGTGTGTGTGTCAGACACACTTACGCAATCCTCTGAACACATCTCCCTCTGCATCTGCAAGGGTCTTCCCCTGCTCCACTGTGATGGCCTTGGCAAGTTCTTTCTGAAACGCATGAGGACGCTTGTATGAATTCTCTGTATCAGCTATATAGCCTAAAGTCAAGTTTCACTCAAACAAGAGCTCTGAACTACTGTGGACGGACTAACATGCTGTCTGTCCATCTGTTCATTCATCCATCCAAGCCCACGGCTGGAGTGGGGCTGGATACGAGCTGTCATATGGTGAGAGGTGGGGTGCACTCTGAACAAGTCACTAGCCTATTGCAGGGCTAACGCAGAGACATAGCCAGTCTAAAATCTCCAGTTAACCTAACACGCATGTCTTTGAACTTTGGGAGGAAGCCAGAGTACCCAGAGAGAAGAGGGAGACCTAAGAACCTCTCTCTGTGAGGCAACAGTGAGTCCACGCTCTTGTTTGATTCATTAATTAAACAAGGCTGAATGTGTTTTTACTTTCAGAGCACCTTACGGTGACTTACAATATTGTCCTTGATAAGCTGCTGATAGCGCAGAAAAACCTGCTGTCGAGCCAAGATGGAGGTCTCAGACCAGGAGCGAAAGGCTCTGGAGCATGAGTCTACAGCAGCCAGCATCTCCTCCTGGGTGGCTTTGGGCACGCAGGTGATCACCTCATTGGTAGCCTGTGAAAGTGGAAAAAAGTCATGATCTCTAAGCTGGATTTTTTTTAAACACTAAAAATAAGTGCTAATTTATACTGTGACTCTGTTCATTCAATAATGCCAAATCTGAATCTAAATGTTGACGTGGGATGCCCATCTACACAAACCAGTCTGGACCAGTATGTCCAGGTTAAGCAACTCCATACTGTACAAGCACAGTGTGGTGAGGCATCAGTATACATTCACCTCAACTAATAATGGATGTTGCCAAGAAATACTAGAAGTACTTACAGGATTGTGAATATCCAGCCATTCCGAGGACTTGGATTCAACAAACTTCCCATCAATAAACAGTTTGGTGGTGGGCTGTGAGGAAAGATATCAGCATTTACTCGTAGGGTTGATTATCTCTGAAATGTATTACCAGATTAACAGTTACTCATAAGCACTCACCACAGAGGAGGAGGAGTAGCACAGTCGGCCGACTCTAAATGGAACCTGTGAAAGCGGCACAGCAGGGAGTCAAATCGCTAAAAGTAGCAAAAACTGCAGTATTTATCCATCCTAGAAGTACAATGTGCTGTTTCATTTGCACATTTTGTCAACCAGCTGCAGCCTGTTGGCCGATTAGATTAATGTGCAACTACTGAGTGTGGAGTTGTGAAAATGGGGACAAAGTCAAGCTGAGTGAAGCAGACTGAGAGAAGGAATGCGGTCCAGGCTGCAGGTGCACGGGCAGACTTCTTTGCGCTTAAATGCACCTGCAGCTGAACACGAGTAGAAAAACTTTCTTCATGTTATAAATCAGCTCTTGAAGGCATAAAATTATTATTATTACTTTTAATCCTCTTAAGATTTTTGAACTGAGGAAAAACGTTATTCCTCCCCTGTAAAGGAATGCACGGACATAACTTCTGCAGGACACTGTGTCAACAATCTGAGCTGACCACACGCTGCCACTTGCACTTTACCTTGGTCCTGAACGCTGATCTCAGAGCTGTTGACGCCATTCTGGGATATCATGTGCTACACCGAACTGATTTGACCCACTGTGCAGGCAGGTAGCGCGGTGGCCAGCAGAAGACAGCATTCAGCTTTCCACCCCACAGATGTGAATCACCTGTGGGCGGGCTCTGGGGAAATTGAGGCTTCCTATAGGCTCCAAATTCGCCCTCTCACTAATAACGCAGCGTGATTGGGTTCTCGAGATTGCCTTCTGTCCAATCACGACTCCAGCTTTTGGATTAAACCCGCCCTAGCTATGGAACGCCACAAACTATTGGCTAATTAAACCAGTCAGTTCTCCTGTCAGGAAGTGTGTCTCAGCTGAACTGTATCCACACGCAGTTTTGAACAAAGTGGGACTTTGCTGTAAAGTGTGTGATCTTTAAGCGATCAGTGGCCCTTATCCAAAAGATTAAAGTGTTATCGCAGCCAGCGACAATGCGCTTGTCGTTAGCCTGCTTCGCTAAGGTACTGTCACTGTTCGCCGGGTGTTATGTGTGCATCAGCTGCTTAATTTCAACCATATGAAGCCCAAATGGTGCTTAGTCATGGACCAAAGAGTAGGTAGGAGGGGGTTTAGGGGACACATCCTATTGGCTGCTCAAAGTGGATGAGATTTTTTGTAGAAAAAGTACTTGCAGTAACTGATCCAGTCTAGTCGAGGGAAATCTACAGAAGTATGGCAACTCAGACTAAGGTGAACCCACTGCATAAAACCACAAAGCAAAACTGACTTTGTTTCCAAACTGACTTAACATTTTCTGTTTTCTGTTCAGCCCATACTTCACGGATACTTCAGAAGCTCCTGCTCCTGGAGGGTTCGCATTGGTAAGTCATGCCCTGGGAATGTTCAGCTAAGCTTTGGTGTAACTTTTTTTTTATCACTAAGGTAATGAACTTGTTTGTGCACCAGCTTTTGCTCTAAAAGGTGTTGAATATGACCAGCTTCCAGTCAATCTGATCAAAGATGGAGGGCAGCAGGTACAGTGTGCAGACAAACATGACACTTTCTGCATGATTGCTTGAATATTAAAGAGTCCAAAATCCTGCTAAAACAATAAGAAGTTTCTTAACAAGGTGCTGTCTTAAACAATAAAACCATGCATTTCTTTTTTAAAGTCGTGTGTTAGTCTGACAGTGGCTCTCTCTGTGCCAAAGCTTACTGAGGAGTACAAAGCGCTAAACCCCATGCAACAAGTGCCTGCAGTGGAAATTGATGGCACCACTCTCTCTCAGTCGGTGAGTCTGCTTCCATAACACTGTCATGTTATCTTATTACATTTACTGAATATTTTGGTAATACTGGTAACAGTTCTAGTAAAAACCTGACTTGTTTTCTAACCTTTAAGCATTTGCAGGTAGTTACTTTGTAATTTCAAATAAAATACATTAAAATTCCATTTAATTACACCTTTAGTCGGTGTATTTTTAATTACACCATGTAACATTAAAAAAACGTTACCAAAATTCTTTTGTTTATGTAGCTGGCAGTGATCCAGTACATCGATGAGACCAGACCAGGACCCCGTCTTCTTCCAGCAGACCCAAAGGCACGTGCCCAGGTTAGGATGATAAGTGACCTCATTGCCTCGGGTATACAGCCCCTGCAGGTAAGCAGAACACAGTCCACAATGCCATCAGTTCAAATATCTACTCTGGTTCACAAAAAATCCATGCTTGCAATGTCAAGGTCAACCTGCAAGACCAGTAACTTTATCTTTTTTTTTTTTTAATTCCTGGACTTCGCAGAATTTGTATGTAATCCAGAAAATAGGAGCGGAGAAGATGCAGTGGTCTCAGCACTTCATCGATCGTGGTTTTCAAGGTAAGCGGAAGCCTGTCATCTACTCCTCTATGCTTCGTTTTAATTTTAAATGCGGAGAACTGCACTCTGAAAACACTTTCTTTTACACAGCAGATGATGAACTCCGAGTTGCCTCTATAAGTGCACATTTTTGCTGTCATTACAAAGCGTGACTCATCAGCTTAACCATCCTGCTTTGCTTTAATGTCGCAAGCAGGAAGGCTTTTAAAACTGACGATGATGATTAAATCAACAGTGATCCATTCCTGAGAACTTAACACAGAAGTACAAACTTTTCTGTTCTCCTAATATTTACATTTCCAAACTTTCCAAAGTAATAATCTAGTTCTGCCCCACATTTGACACCCCTGCTCTATACATTAGAAACATGAAGTGATGAGAAAAATGCCAATGTGGTTTACATGCATGCGTTATCCCCAGCTCTTGAGCCAATTCTGAAGCAAACAGCGGGGAAATACTGTGTAGGCGATGAGGTAAGAACATGAACATATCACAGGACAACATCTGGGCAATTTCCAGCACAAAGATTACTTCTTACTTTCTGCTTCTCTTTTAGATTTCCATGGCAGACATCTGTCTGGTCCCACAGGTCTACAACGCAGAGAGGTATGCTATGAGAAGTTTCATAAAACTGCAATAGAAGCGCTACTTTAATAGAGATGGGCTTTCCACAAAATCGGCGTGCAGTGCTGTTTCTCTGTCTAGTGCGTTTTGTTCGAGCTGACCAGCATTTAAGATGGTGGCTATAAAAACATCTGCCTTGTTTTAAATATGATGGAACCAGATGAAACTAGTTGTGCACAAAGCATCAAATAATACATTTGGAAGGTTAGCAGCAGCATCTCTTTCCAGAAATCTGAACAATTTACATCTATTATATTCAAGAGAAGGCAGAGATCCCAAAACATGATATAACCTTGAAACAGCCTGTACAGGGAAGCATCACCAGTATGTTTTTAATGTCTACAGGTTCAAAGTGGATGTGGGGAAATATCCAACCATCAAACGGCTAAATGAAGCTTTACTTGAGATTGAAGCTTTCCAAGTGAGCCACCCATCACGCCAACCAGATACACCTGATGATCTGCGTGCTTAGTACAAAGCCACTGAGAAGTTGTTTGTGTTAAATAAAATGACTGAAAAGCGACTCCGTTCCACTGCAGTTACTTTAAATGACAAGAAAGGTTCAAGTAAAAAAAATATTTATTAGTATTTTAGCATGAAATTGAACTATGACTTTAATTTGCCTTTTTAAAAAACAAACAAACAAACAAACAAAACAAAAAAAACAACACACCATACAGATACGTGGAGAGGAGGTACGGGACAATAATGTGTAAAAAAAAAAAAAAAAAAAGCTCAGATTTGCTATGCAAAGTGGAAAACCTCTCGTCTCACGGTTCGCAGCGCGTTGCCTGATGGTGATTTTCGAAGACACATAATAAAGTAAAAGAATCACACAGGAGACACATGAATAGAAGGTCATTGCAACAAAACACAAAGCAGAAGAATTAGTCTTCCAGACAAAACGCTCTTCTCATGTCTGATCACATCACGGGCCAAGGTGGCTAAAAACTGTTTCCAATTTGGACTCATTTGTCAAAAGGAATCTCCACGGTGCATTTGATTGTGTCATCATAAAAGGAACCAGAGCAGTCCGACCCACCAAACACCAGCAATGCACACTGGATTTTAACATTTTCACCCTGTCCATGTGTCCCAGTGTCTCTTAGGATAGCGCTGCCCAAAAGCATCATGCTGTGTCCAGCACGAGGCCTGGAGCAAAGCAGGGGAGACACCAGTGAAGTCCACATATTCGTATCTGGGGGAGAAAAGAAATGAAGCTCGATTAAAAAGCAGCTGATTTCATCAATATTGATGCTTCGTGCAAAATAGCAACACTGGACTGAACCGGAACAAACACACCATATTTTTTAAATCCAATAATACTGAAGAAAAAAAACAAAACAAAAAAACCTGCTCACCTGTATTAAAGATGTGAACATCCTGCAGGGCTCCAATTGCACTGCACCCTCCACTGACTAAAATCCTGTTGTCTGAAACTGGGAGTGCTGCATGAAACCTGTCAATTAATATATAAAGAGGTTTTATCTGTATCATTGTTATGGCCAATCTTTACATATTCTTAAATATGAATTATGTTCAGCTAAAAGAAAAGAATCTCACTAGGATGAATTTTGTGTTAAACAACATTAAAATTGCACTTGACTCTTTCTGGGATGCCCAAGGATACTACAACCAGATGGCTACATGGATGACATTTATCAAGGTTGATTAGTTTACTCACCCTCGAGGCAGCGGTGGCATGTTCCCACTCTTCACAGCTGTGTACTCCATAAATCCTGCACTCAGTAGGGAAAATGTAAGAATCAGTGCAATCCTGGACACTCTGTTTCAATCTAAGGCGGTCAGTGGCGGTCTTTATCTTACCCAGATCTAACACATGGAGGTCGTTAAAGTAAGCAGCTGTCTTGCGTCCACCGAATATGATCAACTTCTGAGACAGAAGCGTAGTCGTGTGCCTGTTAAAAAGCATGAAATTAGCATTCCTGAGAATTAAGAAAGCACTTAGGGTACAGTAAATTTACTGAAGACTGACCCAAACCGAGGCAGAGGTCTGTCCCCTTCCACAATGGGCTGGTACCAGAGTCCAAACTCTGGGTTGAAGATGTATAGAGCATTACTGCAGGATTTATCCCCAGAGGAAAGGCTTGACTGAACTCCCCCAAAGACAAAAAGCTCTTTTTTGTAAAAGGCTGCAGAGTGATACGCTAAATTTGGAACGCTGCCTTTTGCCTTAAGGATGGGAAATATCCACAAATACAGCAATGAAAAGAAAAAACAAAGAGCCTATTTCACATACACGTACATGCTTTTAAAGAATGTGAAAACGCAGCATGTTAACAACAAACCCACATTGACAAGCTTCCACTTCCAGGTCAGAGTATTAAGGATGTACAGCTCCGTGTAGCGCCGACCCTCCCTCAGGCCACCGTAAACAAAGACTGCTCTAGAGTCTGGGTCATAGGTTGCAGTGTGTCCTCGGGCACAGGGTGGTTCAGGTCCAGAAGCAGAGGAGTTCAGCGGGAACCAGAAGTCACCGTCTGAAAAGAGGTCAGGTAACGATTAAGTACAAATGCTTCCTCCACCGGTGCCGCACACCTTCACTCTAGTGACATGCTTTATAGATACAGGGAGCTAATATACATATATGGCCAGATGTATATTCAGCAAAGTCCACTGACCCAACTCGAGCTTCCACAGGGAGTCCTTGCAGTAGTTTTGTTCTGAAGTCTCCCCTCCAATGAGGATGGCAGTATCAGGGTCACTCAGACACATGGTGTGGCACCAACGCTTTGACGGACACGCTGAAACTAATCACAAATCTTTGTAAAAGCCACTTCTGTGCAATCCTGTGTAATCCCAATATTTTTTTCCTTTTTGCCTCTGACCTCCTCTGTTCTCACTCTTTATGAGCACAGTCATTTCTTCTTGACCGTTTATCCCGGATGACCTCATCTTCTTAGGGGTCGAAGCTTGGTCTACATCCTCTGAGAGGCTGTCCACGTCCTCAGAGCTCCACCTCAGTTGGCCTCTCCTACCAATGACTGTACGTCTGGGTGTCTTTTCCTTCCAGTCACACAGAGCGCACAGCAGACCTGCGTCAGTTACTGCCCTCACATGCAGACACTAACATACACCTAAGGATAACACTCACTGTAGGCCACACTGGAGGTTTATTCCCCACAGCGGAGTCACTGGTGTCGACTTTATTGACTTGGACCTCAGCAAAGCACACGCTGTCGCTCCTGTCGCTCAGGTGTGAGGTCTCAGAAGTCACCTGGATTTGTATTCATTGAACAATCATGACGCTCGAAAACCAAAGCGTGCATTCCCACTGAACTATTTTGGCCCCGTTTATCTCACCGTTTCACTTTCAGCATCTTGGGTGTGTAATGTGGTGGAATGATCGGTCACATCGTGCCCTTCGTGGAACAAGCATTTCCTTTGAACCAAAGGGGTACTGCTGAAGACGCTGGAGTTGTCCTGTGGCTGGTCACAAGTCTTGGCAAGAAATAAGTGAAATGCCACTATGCAATATCAGCTACGAACTGCTTTTTTGTTTTAAATCCCACATATAGGCATGATGCCTAGCACTCTGACGCAAAGAAAGCAGGGAGTGTAATGGAAACTAGCACAAAGAAATGAATATTAAATGACAATATGCCATAAAGCTATTTATAGCAAGGTGAAAATGGTGGAATCAGATTCTGTTTTCCAAGAGTTATTTATATTTTCACAAAAAAAGTAGAAAAAAAAAGCAGTCAGCATAAGATATTAGGTTAAACTTCACCTTCCTTTTAGGCTTATTGTATCTACTCAGTACAGGAGTTGGATTAATTGCATTCAGATAAGCTATATTTGCCCTTTGCATGCTATAACCTGTAGCCTGAACAGTTTGTGTGTTTTAAAGTGAGGCTATATGTAAATTCCCCACTGCATTTAACCATTAGTAAAATAACCCAGACTTTCCCCACACAAACATGAGCTCTACGTGAGTTTTTTCGGATCTGGTCGCGCTAAATACTTGTGTTTTGTACCTCTCCGGAGACTGTGAGTAAAATCTTGCCATAAACTCCCCTCCTGCCCCTCTCTGCAGCCACTTTGACCATCTCTGGGCTCCAGTCACCTTCCCAAGTCAGACACCTGAGCACAAAGAGATCTCAGCAAACTCTAGTTTACAAATTCACAACCTTGCAGCTACTTCACGAACCTAAATTGAGAGGACAGAATCCCAATTTTCTGAGCTGGTACTTCTGCACTGACCAGAACCTCGACTGAAATTGTGGTCAAACTGCATTCCCACTGTCCCAGACCGAAGATGACCAGCTGCTTAGGAAGAGGCAGCGGGACATGGACTTGAAAGCACCTCCGGTTAGATTTGCTGTGAAGAGTGAGTCCAAGTAGTGATTCTTCGCGTCCTTAATAATCTGTCAACATGGTTTTTTAAAATTATTATTATGTATTTATCAAACGACATACCTAATGAACTGGCGGGGGACGTCACGCAAAGACCAAAGGACATAAAAATTCAGTCTCCCCATGTTGTCATGTTGTTTTACGGATCCAATACGTTCTGAGAGCAGCAAACATCGGCGGTACTTAGATCTCCAGTGCTAACCTCTGATTGGCCGAGAGGAGCTCGAGGCCGTGGTGAACACGCACAGGTGAGAGGTCAAAGTAATTAAGTAATAGGCCCCCTAGTGGATCTGCTGGTTGGACTCCAGATGCCTCACTGCCTTTCTATATGTCTTTGGATAAAGGGAAGTCAAGTGTATGACTGAACATCTATCCATTCGCTTAGCAAATTCAAGATCTTTGTCTCATAACAAAAAATAAAAATGAAAATAGTTACAATTGAAACTCTAAACACCAAATATCTGCTATCAGTATTTATTATGGATCTGTACGGGCTAACTGAATAGACTTTCAAAGTCATTTCATTGTTTTATAGACACACAATTGATTGGCATGATCAAATTTCGTCAGTCATATTTGCTTCACGTATTATTGGTGATCAAGTGAGAACCTCCACTGCACTAATACCAATATCAGATGAGAGTTCTAGCTTCTCTCATCAGTAGGTGAGAGTAGGGCTGCTTAGGTACGAGGTCCATCCAGGAAATGTGGCTTGTGGCTACCATCTCTACTACTACACTGTTTTCCTCATGTTAGCACTTATAGTTTTTGGGGGGGGTTATATATGGTACAAAGAAACTTCTGAGTGTATTAGACTTGTGTTTCAGCCATCTAGAAAATGGCTGATATCTGAAATTTTCAAAGAGTGAATGAACTTTTATTAAAAAGACTAATCGTGCACTGTGGTCGTAAAGGGATGGACATGGTCAGGAAAAATATTTAGGTAGGCTGTGGTGTTTTGATGGCGTGCACTTGGTACTTAGGGGGCCCAAAATAAGCCAACAAAATATAATCATGTCAGTTCTTGGGCTACGTGGTGTTAATGCAGTGTGGTTGTGTCATATTACTTTATTATTCTGTCCACCCTCAGGAGCAACATTTCATCTAAGAGTGCTTCTATTATAGTTCATCTCCACTTGCAGTCTGAAACCATGCACTCTGGTTCTTACTTAATGAGACCCAAGCTGATGTAGTGTTTGGAATAACAAGAGTAAATCGATATATTTATCTTCATCTTTATTCTGACTGTTTATATCACAAGAAATTAAGTGATAAAAACAAAGAAGTAATCAAATGACAAACTAAACAGGTGTAGGTTGATGCTACAGCTTATATAACACCTGCTCATGACGCCAGACCAAAAAATGACCGCATAAGAAAAATTAGATCCCAAACCTCCGATTTACATACAGAACCAAGACAAACCATAAAAAAGAAAGAAAAGGAGCATCTATCACAGTACTGAATAATTATGTTAGTCCTATGCAATTTTTTAAGCAGTCGAGTGTGCTGCAAATTTTTATTTAGTCAGTACAGTTCCAAAGGCCTCGAAACAGAAACTCAATGACTGTTCACATTTGTGCTAACCTTGGGTTTCTCAAAATAATATAACTTCATCTTCATTTGTATTTATTATCCCCTTTTTTTTAAACAGCTTCTGGATGCCAGCTGGCATTCGACCATCATATGCTTGTAGATAATGTGGATTATGTTAGAATCTAGTACATCTTTATATTTCCGTGAAGTTAATTGAATAAATAATGAATTTGATGATACTGAGAGTAGCTTTCCATAAATTATTGACCATTTTTCTTTAAAAAAAAAAAAAAGAAAAATCCAGTAAAGCCCAAGCAAGACTAGCTGCGTCGTAAGATTGTGAGAGGCCTTAAGGGAGAACTGAAAATAAAACCTGGTTTCATCAGCACCTCTGTGCAACTATTACATCAATCCCCTTATGTCACAATTTAATGGAAACACAAGGGGCCACCCTGAAGTGCTTTCTAATCCTGGATGTGCAGCGAGACTGTTATGAAATGACGGGGTCTCGGGTGAAATGCGCAGCTTTGGCTGGCCATTTTTTAATTTATTTTTTTCTCAAGCTGTCCAGTAATCGACCGTGATGCATGCTGGTTTTATCTAATCGCCTCAATTAACCACAAAGGAAATGAGACAATGGTCTGTTTATTGAGGAATTAGAAATTTCAGGATTTGATGCCATCAGCATAACTTACAGCGAGGGTTTAGTACAGTAACAGTATCAGTTGCTTTACAGTATGCTGTATACAACGTCAGCAGCCAGATCTGTGAAATCTTTGGAAGATGCACAAAGAGTGATTGAAATGAGGAAAGAAAGATAATCTTTTTTTTTTTAAAAAAGACCAAAAACAAAACAGTAACTTACTTCTTAGACTTGTGCACAAAAAATAATCTACCTCCAACCATAATGAAAGTGTGCAAGTCAAATGTAAATATTGATTTTTTTATTACATAAGGAGAGCTGCATGTGATAAGGGATGGCTTTTAATTGTGTCATAAAAAGCACAGTCTGATTACCACTTGCTTCAGTACATTCGACTTATATATATTCTTTAACCAACACACCACTGTGACAGCAGACATCGCCATACTCTGAATTTACATAATCTGAAATCTCACGTGATTAGGATCAATACAGAGAAGAAAAAAATAAGTTAGGTTGGTAACAAAGACAAAGCAATAGGAATAATAAGAAAAAAAAAGGTGCACAAGCTCTCACACACACACACACACACACACACACACACACACACACAAAACAAAGCTTCTTTCTTTAGATCATAGTTGATTTAACACAGTTATACCCGTGCAGGTCTTCCCTGATCACTGCTACCATAGATCTGTTACAGGTGAAGACAATAGATATTTTATGATGGGCACTTGACCAAATAGCACGGTGCACACATGGGAAAAATGGCACATATGCAAGGCTTCTTCAAACACATGTTAGCAAGACACTGAAGCGTTTGAAATCTGTGGGATTACAAACTTAAATTCAACAAGAGACAACACAAGCAGACGGTGCTAAAAAATATTTATATATATATATATATATTTTTTTTTTTCTATTTTATTTTAGAATTTCAATTATGTCTCCCCCCCATCCCTCCCCCGACAAGTGTGGAATCAAAAATAGTTCATTGTTCTTCAGTAAATTGTACATTCATAAGCGATAAATTGGCATCTCAGGCACTATAATAAACCCTGTAGTAAAGTGTTTTATTTCGCCAAAGGGAGTAGGAGTTGTCAAACTTCAGGAGATAAGTGCCTTCACCTGGAAATTCGTGGCTCCCCCCCTGCACGGACAGGTGGCTGTCCTGGCGGTACACGGGGAGGATTTCAGACAAGTTAGAGTTGGTGTGAGTTTTGGAGCCCTTCTCGACGTCCCCGTTGCCGACGGGCCCTGCAGAAATCACATGATCCACAAAGTCAACACACCGAATCGTAACCCCAGTGGGGGGAAAACATATAAAAGTACAACTGGCGTCGGCGCCTGACCTTCAAGCTCCTCCTCTTCGTCCTCGTCATCGCTCGACTCGCTGATATGCACCGTGATGGACCGGCTCGTCACAGGAGTCCAGTCAAAATAGATGCCGAAGCCAATGTCGTAGCCGTCTGTGGCAAACTCCCAGCACACTTTATTGGCTTCGGGCACGGTGGGCACATGGACCGTCATGATGTCGCCTCGGTACACGGTCACCATGCTGTCCTTCTCTGTTCGGAGCTTCACCTTTAACTCCTTCACAGCAGCAGATGTCCAAGTTGTCGGGGGGTTCAGGGGCGGCATCTGGGCTGCCATCAGAAGGGACACGCGGCAGTGACTTTAACAAGATGTGACAGCAACTGCAACACTTTAACCAACTCATTCTAAGATGGCAAAATCTCAAGCAAATACTGTGCACGCACACTGCAATTAGCGGGACGTTTATGAACCCGCAGAGTCAGAATCACTGCTGAACAAAGCAGCTGTCACTATGGCACACTGCAGGTCCTCACCTTTCATCTCGGCGGAGAGCTGACAGCTCCCTGCACTGCTGTTCTCCTCGCCTCCTTCCCCCAGGGCCAGCTCAGCAGGGGCCTCTTCATTACCCTCAATATGCGCACACGTCAGGGTTATTATTGTAAAGACTTAAATTGTTAGACTATGCCAACTTGTTTACAGCTCACCTAAGCACACAGTATTACCTACCTCAGAAAGACGTCCTGAATCCTCCTTGGTGTCATCCATACTGTCTTTGGACTGAGTAAAGCTCTCTGAAAGATTTGTATTCTGCAGCCTTAAGTAAAGAAAGAATAGACATTTTAAACCAAGATAACATTCAGACCACCCATCTGCATAGCAGCTCCATTTAAAAGCCGCAGCAACAGGTTACCTGTCCGGTGGCGTGTTGTCGCACTGTTTGGCTGTTACTCCGGGGAAAGATGAGAAAGACAGTGATGAAAGCCGTGACTGGAGCTGTGATGTAGCCTCTAATCTCTCCATGGCTGTCCTGAGAAGGCAAACACCTCAGTCTGCGTGGCTGCAAAAAGATGAAACCCCGCCCCTCCCAACCACAGGGGAGGGAGACGGGTGAAGCTAGCCTCCTAAAGCAGGCTGTTTAAACTAAACAAGCTGCCGTTTCACATAATAAACCCCGTCAACCGCAGTATTGCCTTCTGATTTAACAGTTAAAGCAGTAGCGACGAGCTGTGTTTACATGTGCGTGGAACTCTAGCTTCATTAACCAGGCTAGCTGTTAGCTTATAGCTCACGCTAGCTAACCAGCGAGCAGTTAAAAGGACAGCCGAAGCTGCGGACACAACACCCAAAAACTTATCTCACCACAACGTAGCGTCGAAAATATGATGTGATTTTAGTTTAATCAAACTCAGGACATGAGGTAAACCGCCTCCATATCCCTGCAGTCATGTGAGGGACCTCTCCACAGTGCTGCCGCTGCTGCTTCTGCTGCTCAACAGGAAAAAACAGACCCGGATTTTTTGACACTTCCGTCTTTTCTCGGAAAATCAGCGAATCTGCATCCTTACCAGGAGCCTACTGCAGCTCCTCTGAGGACATACGCCGCTGCTTAATATTTAAACCAGTCTAAAAGTATACGTCCCAAAGCCAAATCATAAACACATATTATTTAACAAAATCTAACAACTATCTTTTTTTTTCAGTTTTAAGTCTTTTTTCTCATGATACAGTACTCTGCAAAGGTCTTGAGGCACCCGTTAAAACGTGTACATACATGGAAAGACAACATGTAAGACAAAAGCAGAGTTTGTACAACTACAGCTCTCTTAGACAAGCTTTCCTGTTATTTCTTTAAGCAGTCTTTAAAGCTCTTCTCTAGATGTTGGCTGTATTTTTGTTCCATTCCCTGTCAAGATGATCCCACACTGTTTCAATATTGTTGAGGTCCAGGATCTGGGGAGGCGATCCATGACTGACAGTGTTCCTCTGTGCGTAGTATGCTCTTAATGCATTGGCAGTGCATGTGGGATCATCGTCATGCTGAAAAATGAAGCTTTTGGCAATCAAACCTAATGTTGTTGCATTAATTTCAACAAGATCCCCAACACCACTGGCTTAAATGCCAACCCAAAGTATGACAGTGCCTCCACCGTGTCTTGCAGATGGCTGTAGACACTCACTGTTGTACCTCACCCCGATCTCCTCTGTATGTCACATCTGGATTCATTACTCCATCGGACCTGTCTTCAGTTCATTTGGTGTGTAATTTGGTATGCTTCAGCTGTTTCTCCCCATTTTCCTTAAGATAGGCTTCTTGACAGAAGTCTTTCCACTGAGATCTTTACTGACAAGGCTGCAGTGAACAGTAGATGAAGGTCCAGGTTTTTTTTGCAAGAGGCTGCCATCACCAAAGTAGCTACAGATACAACTTAAAATTGGTTCTTTCCCAAGTCGCCTGTGCTGTATAGAGACAACACTTGTTCATCCATGAGTGCATTTTTTGATGCTTTAATGTTTCATAGGTCAGTGTTAAGTGGCTTAATAGAGAAAATAAAAAAACATATTAAGCTTGAGATTTTTGCACAGCACTGTAACTGTACTGCATAAAAGTATCTGAAGTAAACCTATCTACATTTCACAAACTTTAGTGAGTCCTTCATGTTATAAAATGATTTTCATTCAAAATTGAAAATGTAACACAGTAATACAAATTTTGAATTGGAAGCACACTGACCAGCCTCATTATTTAAGACAGGTAACAAAAAGCTAAACAGACTTTTATTTACTTTTTAATTTTTCGTATTGTTATGTATTCTTTCAAAATGAGACATGGTTCCCCAGCAGATTTTTCCATCACAGAGACTGAGTTCACGTATTAGTGATTTTAATGCTGTGGCTGATCAGTGTGTCACTTTGCTGGTGTCTCCATCTGGGATTTATAAGCTGCAGAGAGGCACTGTTGCACAGATTTACTGCTTGATAGAAAGCACAGCAGCGGGGTCTCCCTGATCTGGGCATCCATAAGTGAAATCCAGGGAAAAGGCCTTTTTGGAATAAAGTTGAAATATATAAATATTATTTAAATGAGATATATGACAGTTTAAAAAACAAACAAACACTGATCTACTCACTCATCTGAGAGAAGAGAAGATGCATAGGATGAATTGATGAAACTGTGTGCATTTAATTGCACAGTGTCTCCACATTTTTCTTTAAATATTGATTTAATTAAGAGGAGAGCCTCACTGGATCCCAGACTGGCAGAGGTGCAGATATTCAACAGGATATACAGCACCGCACACACCCAGTTCAGACCCAGAGAAATACCTCCTACATGTGGAATCAAAAGGTACAAACTAAGAACAGAACTTGTTTAACTGAAGCTCATGCAAAATACTTTCTGTCACATATGAAACAAAATGAAAAGATGCTGAAGTGACATACCTTTCATTGTGAGAGGACACGATGCTTCTATCAGCAAAGGATCTGCTAAAGCTGAGGCCACATGACTGCAGGACAGCCAAACATCCACAGTGTCACAAGAGACAACGTCATACTTTGGCTTCAGGATGTAGTCGTGTCCAAGAAGCTTAGCTAATCTGAGACAGTAATTCAAAAGAAAGCGATTCATTGACCCAACCCCCCCAAGAAATGACCAGTCCTTTGTGTGTGTGAATATGGCTGTACCTGGTGACGGGAATGGCAGAGGTGAAACTGTACACAAGGCAGTGTTTTGCCAGATGAGAGCGGAGATCAACACAGACTTTTGGGATTTGAGAGGGCAGACAGCAAAGGAAAAGAACATCCGCCCATGCTGCCAGTCTGCGATTGTCAAAGAAACATTCAACTTCTGTATGGACAAATTCCACTGAAACACAGAACATACAACGATCTTAGCAAACACTTTTTTTCTTTTATCAGTACACACGGAAGTTTGGTCCAAGTGCAATTTAGTTAAACCAACACATGCTTAATGATTAACTCAAGAATACCATAGAGTCACAACAAGCAACCAATAACTATTCATAGTCTTAAAAGGGCATAACTGAAAAAACAAAACAACAACAACCTAGCTTAAATCTGCTCAAAAATGCATCTGGGTAGCTTAAAAATGTAAGAGTGAAGAGAGTCATTAAGGAAGCGTATGGAAACCCCTCAGATTACCCACTATCTGAAACAAGGAGCTTTAGCTTCTCATCCCTTAAGCCAGCCTTCTTCTGACTGGCTGCCCCTTGCAAACAGAAGGTTTGACCATATTAGTGGTATCCACTCTGAGTGATATCATGAGGAGCCAACAGTAGGAAACCTAGCATTTATAGCCACATGAACAGCGATCTTTCACCTCACATAGATTACTTCAACGAAAGAATCTAATTATTTGAAGCTTTGACCATGTCTAATATGAGCATCCACCACTGTAACGCTCTATAAACACAACAGAATAAAAAGGAAATAGGTCCACCACTTTAAGATTATGTGTCTCATGACATTTAAATCCTGTCACAAGAAATTATTATACTCATATTGTATACAGCATTTGTATTCTATTTTATTCAATTGTATATAGTATTTTATTTTTATTTTATTATATTCTATTGTGTACAGTATCTTATGGCTATTCTATTCCATTGTTTTTTCTATGCAACTTTGCACTGTCCACTGCTGTAACAAAACAAATTTCCCATGCGTGGGACTAATAAAGCTCATCTTATCTTAAATCCACTGCATCACAAGCATTTTTCTCAGATTTGGGCTTTTTGTGCGTGTGTACCTGCTAACTCTGGTCTCCTAGTGGAGATCTTAATATGTGAGGGTTTGATTTTGGTCTTTTCAAGAAGTGCTAGGCACAGCTGTTTTCCCAGATGGCCCATCCCAAGTATACCCACGCGGAGGTCGTCGTGCTCTCCTGGTGCCACTGGCTTTCTGATTTTCGCTGTGCGCCTTCTGATGGCACATCTATAATACAAATGAATGGAGTAGCTCAGACAGATTAAAATATACTCAAATGACTGCAAGACTATACGTGTGGGATGAGTTCACCTTAGCGAGTCAATGAGCTCACACACGAAAGCTGCGTGCGCGCACCCGCAAAATGTCAGTCCAGCCGAGCGCGCCCGGAGGTAAAGTAACTTCTTTTCGTCGTCAGCGAGCCCGCTCTCAAAACACAGAGTGCTCAGGTCGGCGACTATGTCCGCCATCACCAACACTCTTTGAGCACACAGTTAAAATGTTAAACCCCTTAAAATAGTCCAAGTCTACGCTCTTAACACTTTTCAATGGAGATTTGGGAACCAGTTCTGTTGCCATGCCAACTTAGCGAGGTTAGGCTTTCAAAATAAAAATCACTTGAAAGACGGACGTATAGTTTTCAGAATAAAATATATAAAGCAAACGTTGAAATATGATGCTAACACAACTCCTAAGGTTTACAAAAATGTCTAGAGTCTAAGTAAATAAACACCAACCAAGCACACTCCAGTGTTAATTTCACCGTTTTTATTTCTCCATCATGCTTTTAATACAAATTCATGAGTCACCTGTACATATATTTACAAGAAATAATACTCTTACCACATAACCAAAAAAGGAAGAAAAAAAATAAAAATCAAGACTTAGCAACACAATTGATCACATCAGACATCAATATATAAACATATAGCTTAATAACAATTAAAAAAACAAAACTAAACAAATGAGATTATCAGTACATTAAGACTTTACTTATGGATCTTGAGTAGATTCACTTTGTCAACAATTCAAAAATGTGAGCATGAGACTGTAAGAATAAAGCAGTTTTTAAATTTAAACCGCAGCTTCCTTTTTTTAAACAGCAGCTTTTGTGAAAATTATGCAACACTAAAATTGTGAAACCTTAGAACAAGTCTGGATAATCGTCCCATCTCTCACTTGTTACGCTTCGACTCAGTTAAAAGTGCAGATTACAGAGCTTTACAAAGATGCAACACATTCAGTTTCTACATTTGTTCTCTCATATTTGCACGAAATGCTGCTCATTAGGAATATTTACAGTAAATAACAAGGCCCACATACAGTACATCTTATATAAATTAAGGGTCATTACACCTAGAATATTAGTGTTTGCTGACACAAAGTAGGATAAGAGAACGCAACCACACAATCTGTAAACAGCTGTTTGAAAATGAAGCAGATGAAAGGACCTATTCCTTCATTCTTAAGCCTTTACATTTTACATTTGTATGGTCTACCCTACAACATAGCATCATACACAATAACATTATAAGTGCTGCTCAAACTCACCCTTCTTCATCCATTTGATTACACGCATACAGTTGAACAATGTTGATGACCATGAAGGCACTGTGAGGCATGTGATAAGCTGACACAAGCTAAAAATCACAGTAGCTCAAACTGCCACAGGATGAACACCATTTTATTTACACCGGCACTCACTGTCCACCTTTTGCCTTCTTCAAAAGCACAACTATTAAGCTGTAGCTGCTGCACAGTCATTGTTTCAGTTTTCCATAAGGCAATGACACTTACTCGTCGCCCTGCCTCCATTTTTGCGACTCCTCCTGACGTGCATCGGGGTGAATCTGGTTTCTCATCCCACCCAAGACATTTGAAGTCGCCTCAGTGGCCATAATGAGTGGCTTGACTACTGCAGGTGGAAGCTGGCGGAGAACTCCACCGACTGCCCCAGTCATACCTCGCTGCTCGTGCTCCCGGGTAGCTGTGTCGTAGATGGTTAGTGCAGTGTCTGTGATCCCCTGTGGGAACATTTTGCAGTCCTTAAAACATCTTTTCTTTCACAGAACTGAAGGTTTTCCTATTTGTTTTTGTTTTTTTTACCTCTTTCACCACAGTGTAGGCTTTGGCTACACCTTCTCTGAGGTCGACAGGCTGATGAGCCAGTCCATAATGGGAGATCCGTTTTACCCTCTTTGTGTCCCTCTCATCAGGCACTGGAGACACCATGTCATACGCCGTCTCAGCGGCTGCCTAAAAACAGAAAAAAAATTATAACAGACAACAATTAATAGATTTTTCTACGTGCTTTACAGAAGGAAATGCATGCAAATATTTTATTAGCAGCAGTGGACCAGTTTACCTGAATAGTCCGCACCATCCTGTTTGTGAGCTCCAGGGCAGCCATAGCTGTAGAGGTTCCAAAGGAAGCCGTGCCGCGCTGAAATCCACGGACTATCCGGCCATCCTTCCTGTACTGTTCAATCGGGAGCCAGACCAAATCCCTGAGTCCGTGAACTGAATATGAAAGAAAAAAAAAACAAAACACAACATTGACAGAGGAGTAAAGCAACTGAAAGTCAAAAGCTGGACCTCAGCTCTCATATTGGAAATGACTTTCACAGCAGTTTCTGTTCCAGATAGTTTTTTATTAAAGAGAAAGAAAGTGATTAAGGCTGATTCTGAAATGTCAGCAACAATAAAGAAAATTTTGTCAAACAAGGAAATGTTGACTCAAGGAACTTTTCAGAAATTAGAAAGTTGTTGGGCCAAGCACCAGGCAACTCCTTTACAAGTCAATTAAAATGAGAGAACAACAAAAATCAGACTAGTTAACAAGTCTGAACGTAAGATAACAGACAGTTCACTGACAAGTTAAACAATGTCTGTACAAATACAATTTGGGAAAAATTGTGATTTTTTAAATCTTATTCTTTCATATTAGACAAAGTATAATAATAAAGTGTAATAAAGATGTGCTAAGGTTATAGGTGTCAGTGCTACAGTCCACAGCTAATCCATTCAGTTCAGTTCTACACTGTGTTAATAATTGCGCAACAGGAGCAATGCTTCGATTGCTAATGGGAGAGTGAGGCAATGTATAGGAAGTTAACATCCGAGCTTCAGCAGCTTGGAGACGCTTCTCTTTAGCTACAGCAGCAGCTTTCATTCGCGCATTTCCAGCAGTTTGAACCATTATCGATATCCAAGGTGTCAGATCAGAACTACAAAAAGTTGGACCTGTGCATTCTTAAATTTCATTTATTGCTGGCATCTGCAATACAACTGATACACATCAGTTTATTCTGCTGCAAGTAGCTAACACGAGCACTGCTTAGCTTACATGTTAATGTTCATAGACCTGAGCAGATTATGGTTACACACTGCTCAGCTTATTCATCAGTGTGATCTTACAAGGCCTGCTAATAACTGTTTGTCTACATAAGAACACTGCAAATCTACACTTGTTCACAGAGCTGCCACTTGTGTTCCTTTTCACTGTGCTTGTTTATATCCACTCACGGGAAAGAGTGTGTAATGTTGCTGAGGTATAACTGACAGTTGATGTGCACTGTACATTAACAAACATTTGCATAATTGGATTAAATAACTAGTATTTCATGTCTTGATTAACAAGAGAAGCAACATTTAATCATGTAGCACATCCCAACTGGCCAACAAGAACAAGGTACAGCAACAGCCCTGTTCTTAACAAACACAGTAAACCATCTGAGATGATCCCTTGAACTGTTACACTTACCCAGTTTTACCAGAGTATGAATAGGTGCCACACCACTCAGCAGTCCTTGAAGCTGGTTTGTCTTTATGTCATTTAACCACTCATTTATTGCATAGGAAAAGAGCTTATCCACACCTAATAATCTGAAACACAAACAAGTATTACTTTAATACGGCTCACTGTGTGCGAATTATGTTTTTGCTAATTTATTGTCTCATGAGATACATTTTGCGGTATACTTACCCCTGCCTGTAGCACAACTGCCTCAGTTTGAGTTCTGAACAATTCAGCTGTGTCAGCCCGAAAATGATCCCTGCAAATGTTCCCTGGAACGAGGTACTCATAAAAATCATTCATGAAGCACTCATAACATAACGTGGAGTTAATCAAGTCCTCTCTTAGACAGTTACCTGGTCCATAGACACGTGTTTCCCATGGTAGTCCAGGCGAATGGGAACCTCAGAAGTAAATCGAAACTCCCTGTTAAGATGACAAGGGGTTGCTGAACACAAACAAGCAGTTTGGAAAGTTAAACGGCTTAGTGGTCAATAAAAATAACCTCTAACCTAAAGAAGATGGGTTGGTCTGTGAAGGGAGAAGCAGAGGCTTCACTGTCATTTGCGTCTTCCCTGCCGGATGTAGAGAAACCGTTTTGGCTCAGTCGCCTCTGTGCAGGCACCGAGATGATTGGGGCTGGATCCTGGCTCCCACCAGCGTGCTTGGAGAAGCTGCAAGAGATCTCTGGGGCAGCCACTTTCTTTGTGGTAACACAAACCGCTAAAACAGACAAAACGTTAAAGATGCATGAGATAAAAGTAGGAGTCATGATAATTATACAGTTTTGTGGCAATCTTACCTTCTTGAATAGGTGGTGAGAAAAACTCAACTTCAGCAGCAAGACTTGTAAAGAAGTCTCTCAAGAAGAACAGTGCATCCTTCAAATAAAGAAGAAGCTATCACTTAAAAGATAATGCTCATTGTTTGCCAGGGTTAGAGAAATAATTTGTACCCAACTCTCACCTGATCAATATTGAGGCGAAGAGGCATTAGAGTGACCCGTAAACAGCACTCTGGGGGAGCCTGGCCTGACTCAGGACACATGTGCATCGCCTTGACTGTCAACTAAGACAAAAAGCGCACACACATGGTTACGACAGGACAAAACTTACCACGATTACAACGAGTATGATGCTTTCCTCACCATGTTAGAATGGGCTTTTCGGGGCATTTCCTTGCTAGAGTACAAGTAGAGGAACTTGTTCATCTGGGAGGTAGCTAGTCTGTCTCGAATCTCCAAGTCCTGCACAGAGAACACCTGCCGGGACACTGGCTGGTCCACTGCTGGACGCGACACCGCTGAGATCTGGGGGTACACCTCGTGCTGGAATCTCACCTGAAGAAGCAGTAAAAGAAAAGCTGAAGAAACCCCAAAGGGCATTTCACAAAATAATGAACATGTATTTCTGCACAGCATAACTTTACCTTGCTGAGTTGAATCTCCATCAGGACATCAGGATTCCTTCCCTTTCCACCACCAACCCGCCCTGAAGCCTTCGCTTGTCTCACTGGAGTTTGAGATGGGGAGCTATGAGGTGTACATCTGCAAGACAGAGTAAAGACCAGAGTTAAGTAAATATGTCTTCCTTTTAACAAATGTAAAGAGAACCCAGTTTATGACTCACCCCCGGCTTCTAGCAGGAGAAACTATGGAGCTCACACTCCCGAAGTCTTTTCCACCATAAAGATGCCAGATGACAGAGATCTCCTTAATGAGGTAGCGAACCTCTGGGATGGGAAAGTTGGCTCCACGGCTGGAATCACTTCCATCCAGAGGCTGACTGAAGTGATCGTCTTTGACTTCTACTGGCTCCGAGGATAGCTGCTTCACCACCGGCTCCTGATCTCGATCCTGAACACACATTTTTCTTACAGTCAGGCATAAACAGGTTTTGTAAAAACAGTCGATCACTATGCTATGTAGCCTCTTCAAGTTAAGGCTACACAAAAATATGTAGCCTTAACTTGAAGAATGAGTACGTCCCAACCTCTCCTCTGGAGCTCGGAGTTTCCAATATACAAAAGTCGTCAGTCTCTTGGGCCAGATTAGGGGCTGGTGTGATGAGAGGAGAAGGAAGCATGGGGTACGGGGGGCTTAAATCTTGGCAATTCCCACTTTCATCTGGGAACAGGAACAGGTCTGAGCGAGGTGGTTCTTGGTCTTGAATCTGCTCCTCAGGTGTGCCTGCAGTGGTGTGAAATTCATAAAGTAAAGACTCCTCATGGGTGAAACACTTTTTTACCTCACTGAGCGAAGTATTTACCGTTCTGCTGCGGCCCTGGTACAGGCTGCCCATCAGTCTCTTCCATAGCGTCACTCATGAGATCCTGTAACATCTGCTGCTCAGTCTCAGCGAGGAGCGAAGTCTGAGATGGTGGTCGGCCAGAAGCCTCCATCTGTCCAAAAATACACTCAGAATAAACTTGTGCATATGGTAAAGTTTGACAATTATGCTTTAACTGAGTGACACTGCTGACCTTGCTTTTTTGTGTAGTGCTGCTGTGCTTGGTCTCTGGTTCAGCTGGGGGCAGCAAGTCTCCATAGCTGGCTACATACTGTATGAGGTTCATGAGGGCAGCACAGGAGTCCGAACAGGTTCTGATATGGATCACATCACTGGAGCAGCGCAGCTCGAATCTGGGCTCCGACTATCACCCAAGAGACAGCGAAAACAAGTGTTTGTACAAGCCTGTTTTGTCTGTTTTTTAAAAATGGGAATATGAATAATTAACACTTACCAATTTTCCATCTACTCCAGGTTTGACCGCTGTTATCCTCAGCTCTAAGGTTCCCATGTCTACCACTTGGACATAATCTGTGACAAAAAGAAAAAGTCAAAATTTGTCAAAGCTTCATGTAAAGTCGCATTCAACACCGTTTCTGAAGTCAACTTACCACGAGCTAGATTTACAGAGACAGCATTACTTTTATCTGAGAGGAACAGAGCAGCTTCGTCCAAAATGATCCTGGAAACAACATATTTTACTAAATAATGTAACCTCCACACATTTTTGTATTTCAGAAGAAATCCAGTTGCTTTTTCACACCTAAGTGTTGATGAGGAGTTGTCTAGAGAGACGCTACTGGAGATGCTGAATGTTTCCACAACCAGCAATGATCTGAGTGGCAAGTACAGGGGTCTGCAAAAAACAAAATAAAATCAAGCGTCACACAAGAACACACTCGGATAATAAAATCAGCCACCATTTAGTGTTTTGTTCTACTTCACCTGTAGTCCAGAGAGCAGCTCCATAGGTGCAAATGCAGTGTGGTGACAGACGTAGGAGGAGCGTAACCCAACACGGGTTCATCAGAAACATTCAGAAAGTCAACAATCTGTTGTAGACAAATCATCAGTAAGATTATGAATACCTGATGTTATTGCACATTTCTTCTGTGCTGTGTAAACACATCATATGAAGGTCAAATAAAGCTTATATGACAGCAGCCTAAGGCAGTTTGTTTTACCTGGTCATACCAGCCCAAGCTGGGAGGGACCACTCTGTGCTGGAGTGTAGCACCTCTCACCCCAACAGCAACCAGAAACTCCTGCATGACGGAAAATTAGAAAGGAGGGGAAAAAAAAAAAAAAAAAAAAAAAAAAAAAAAAAAAAAAAAGGGACATCACAGCGAGCACATTACTTCTTAAATTACGTGGAATTTTTTTAATTTGCATACAAACATACAGTGGTTTGCAAAAGTATTTGGCCCCCGTGAACTTTTCCACATTTTGTCACATTACAGCCACAAACATGAATCAATGTTATTGGAATTCCACGTGAAAGACCAACACAAAGTGGTGCACACGTGAGAAGTGGAACGAAAATCATACATGATTCCAAACATGTTTTACAAATAAATAACTGAAAAGTGGGGCGTGCGTAATTATTCAGCCCCGAGTCGATACTTTGTAGAACCAGCTTTTGCTGCAATTACAGCTGCCAGTCTTTTAGGGTCTGTCTCTACCAGCTTTGCACATCTACAGACTGAAATCTTTGCCCATTCTTCTTTGCAAAACAGCTCCAGCTCAGTCAGATTAGCTGGACAGCGTTTGTGAACAGCAGTTTTCAGATCTTGCCACAGATTCTGGATTGGATTTAGATCTGGACTTTGACTGGGCCAGTCTAACACATGGATATGTTTTGTTTTAAACCGTTCCATTGTTGCCCTGGCTTCATGTTTAGGGTCGTTGTCCTGCTGGAAGCTGAACCTCCGCCCCAGTCTCAAGTCTTTTGCAGACTCCAAGAGGTTTTCTTCCAAGATTGCCCTGTATTTGGCTCCATCCATCTTCCCATCAACTCTGACCAGCTTCCCTGTCCCTGCTGAAGAGAAGCCCCCCCAGAGCATGATGCTGCCACCACCACCATATCTGACAGTGGGGATGGTGTGTTCAGAGTGATGTGCAGTGTTAATTTTCCGCCACACACAGCGTTTTGCATTTTGGTCTCATCTGACCAGAGCAGCTTCTTCCACATGTTTGCTGTGTCCCCCACATGGTTTATGGCAAACTGCAAACGGGACTTCTTATGGTTTCCTGTTAACAATGGCTTTCTTCTTGCCGCTCTTCCATAAAGGCCAACTTTGTGCAGTGCACGACTAATAGTTGTCCTATGGACAGATTCCCCCACCTGAGCTGTAGATCTCTGCAGCTCGTCCAGAGTCACCATGGGCCTCTTGGCTGCGTTTCTGATCAGCGCTCTGCTTGTTCTGCTGTGAGTTTAGGTGGACGGCCTTGTCTTGGCAGGTTTACAGTTGTGCCATACTCCTTCCATTTCTGAATGATGGCTTGAACAGTGCTCCGTGGGATGTTCAAGGCTTGGGAAATATTTGCGTAGCCTAAGCCTGCTTTGAATTTCTCAGTAACTTTATCCCTGACCTGTCTGCTGTGTTCTTTGGACTTCATGGTGTTGTTGCTCCCAATATTCTCTTAGACAACCTCTGAGGCCGTCACAGAGCAGCTGTATTTGTACTGACATTACACACAGTAATCACTCTATTTAGTCATTAGCTCATCAGGCAACGTCTATGGGCAACTGACTGCACTCAGACCAAAGGGGGCTGAATAATTACGCACACCCCACTTTGCAGTTATTTATTTGTAAAAATTTTTTAGAATCATGTAGGATTTTCGTTCCACTTTTCACATGTACACCACTTTGTGATGGTCTTGTGGCTGTAATGTGACAAAATGTGGAAAAGTTCAAGGGGGCCCAATACTTTTGCAAGCCACTGTATACACACAGCCACATAAGTGGACTTATTTAATAAGCAACACATAACAAAACAACATTTCTCTTCCACAGAAAGGGTTTAAAAATGTAATAACCACCAATAATGAAACATGGCGATTTCTCAATTTTGACTGGGAAGTAGATCCAAAACTGATGGACAATATGAGTGCAGAATAAAGCCTGCCAGCCTTTAAAAATAACTCAAACATAAGTACTTTATGTACAGAATGTGACACTTGAGTCTGTAGTGGACTTGCTGAAGTGGTTCACAACAAATCTGTGAAATACACACACAGTCCTCTAACTGTTTTGAGTATCTGACCTTGATGTTGCGTTCTGCATTCTGTGATGAGATTTTGACAGCGACAGAAACCATGCTGCGAGCTTCTAAACCGATACCCTCCGAAGGCGTTGACAATTTTTCTGAAGATGTTTCTGACTGGTAGATGGTTGGCTCTAGCCAATGAGGATGTGTCCTGCATGGCAATTTGATGTCTGAGACAGAAGTGCCTCCATCTATGAGTCCTGGGGATAATAACAGATTGAGTCATCAGTGAAAACGCATACAGTCGTGCCATTAGTACAGTTCTAGACTGTTACCTATACTTTTATATATTTTTAGGTCCCATTATCACCACATATCACTCATAACATCATAAGACTAAGGCAATAGTGATATTACACACAAACAGGAAGCAGCTTACCTTGGTGATACATGCAGATGCTGCTGGTGTGAAAGCAGATGTAGTGCTGATCTTTAAAGCCTTCATACTGAGTGACGCTGAACAAAACGGCATTTTTCACCTCCAGCCAGAACTCGCCATGTTTGTTTTTCAGTGTGGTTTTATCCTCCTTCTGTAAAAACAACAAACTCAACTCCAATGTCCACATAACAAGCTATCCACAAATTTCATTGTTTTTTTGGTGCACTTTTTTTTTCCCCAGGCAGAACAAGGGTGACCACTAGAAGTGCAACACAGGGGAGATTAAGTCTGGTCAAGTCGCTGCAGATATTGAGGACTACCACAGCAGCAACCTGTCCATGCTGTCTTTAGTGAAAGACACAATGGGAGGGGCCCAGCTGGCTGGTTAGCAGCAACTGAACTTTTAAAGCTGGAGTGAGGGGACTGGCCACTTTTAAATCAGTGATGGATGTTGTCGATAAAATAAAACTGACGTCAAATATATTTGGCCAGCAAGCCAAAGTAAAGCCTGCGTGTGGAAAATACTGAAGGTTACCTTGGCATTAGCATGAAGACACATAAGGCCATGATTGACACTAAGATTGACAGAGAAAAGGCTCTGGGAGTTCTTGCTGTGGGCTTTGGGCTTCTTCTTCTTTCGAGATCTGAAGCCCAGGTCAGCGGCAGGCGAGTAATAGTGCATGTTCTCCTCCTCTGATCCACTGGTCTCCTCTGCAAAGACAACAAAACACCCATTTATGAGCAGATAAGTTGTAGTTTAAACATGACATCATAAGTGACTAAAGAATTAGGTGAAAACACTGTTCTGTCGCACCCTCAGGACCAGTGGAGCGGAACTGGCTAAAGCTGTCCTTGGAGTAAGTGTTGATCAATTGACTGGCAACAGAGAGCCCAACTCCATATGGCATGTTCTCTACAGTCTCCACTGGGGATGGAGCAGTGGGCTCCCACAGCAGAAGGTCATTGTTTATCCTAAAATATTTAGAATATGGATAAGAATTATTAAATGCATAGAGAAGAATATGCAGCTGAAAGAGTTTTCCCCTGATATGACAGTAGCTGGTGAACCTCAGGTCCAGTAATAAGCAATGTTAACTGGCTGTTAAAGATGTGTGTTGTAGATAAATTAGTTAAATTAAAGATAAATAAATAAGAGGCAATGAAGTTGCTCTGGGTGAAAGCCAAGTGACCTACCTGTTGTGTAGTTTTTCATAAAATGCCTTGCTGGGGAGTGTTAGCTGCACATTAGGGAAACACAACTCAAGGATGAACCGGGAGTTATTCATCGTTTTTTCCTGGAACACCGTCATCTCACCGACATCACCAGGAATGACCATCTGGAATTACAAGATTATAATAGTAAATGTAAACACAACTCTGTCACCACCTGTTTTGTCAGCAGGTTAGGTACGCAAAGCAGAGCTATTGTACACCTTTGCATAAAGATGCACCTGCCACACATGTAAATATATTACCAAATATCCTCGCTTCCCAATGCAAATAAATCAACCTGTACATTTTGCTCCAGCTTTGGACCAATGCCATTAACAAAATAGCAACACCTTTCAATTGACAAAGAAAACTGGAAAAGTATTTAAAACAAAACAAAAACACACGAAGGACTCTGGACATCAAATGTATCTTTCAATAGTATTTTTTCAGTGTATTAATGCCTACATCACTTACTGCCTTTGGAGAAGCAACTTTGTGGATTAGAAGTAAATGTAATGAAATACGTGCCTGACTGGTGAAGGTGATGAGAGTGACACAGTGAGACAGAATGGAGAAAAACAGCAAAAGATTTGCATGTAAAAGATGAGGGAGGGGGGCAAGAAGCACAGAAGGTACGCTACTGCAGCTTCAACAGTGAACATTCAAAACTTTAGCTGTGGGGGAAGGAGTGGTGATGCTGTGATTTCATATTACATGTAAGATGATCACTCGGAGAGAAAGTTAGGCAAGATATACACGTTTACTGTAGCTGTGTCATAAGAAGAGATTTAAAGCAACAGATCTAAAACTCATAATTTAGCATTGCAATAACATGCACAGCAGCAAAACATCACTTTGAGCATCTTTCTTACAACTATAGTGATACAGACCTATAGTGATAGTTCAAATTAAACATTAGTGAATTATTCCAAAACTACCTTGTTGAACGTTATTCCCTGTTGCTCAAGTCTGGCAATTCTTTCAAGGAAACATCAAAAAGCAGCACAAAAATTTGGCCTCACATGCAAGTGTGTGTGTGTGTGTGTGTGTGTGTGTATATACACATATATATCTGTGACTAATGACTGTGGAAACTCTGATACAATGTTCCACAATCTATGAATGCACAATGGGTTTTCCCACTGGTTACAGCTCGTCTGATATAATTGAGTCTTTCCAGCATACACATGTGTCACAAGCTTTCAGTTTCCACATTACATTAAACTGAATCAGATTAGGAATGTCCTCCAGATAACATGTGTGTCAAACAAATATCTGGAGATATAAATCTTAAAGACAGATGTGAGCTGAGAAATGTTCAGCTTTCTGCAGAAGCATCAGAAAGCAGCCGTTTAGTGTGAGGTTGTCTGGTAATTATTCACTGTAGTTTTCAGGTGCAGGGGCTACAATGCAGATTTAAGATGCTACAGTATGAACAGTTAAAATCACAGAGACAGTCGTGTCAAGAATAGGTTAACTGGACATTGTTGACCCATAACCTACCTCTTCATTCTCATACATAACCCTACGTGAAGAAAAGGGTGATGGCTCTGGCTTCCCAAAGTCACATACATCCTTCAGTGAATGAGCAGCCCCTTCCTCCTCCTCTTCTTCAAGAGAATGGTCCTCAGCCCCCTCATCTTCAGCTGTCACACGCTCAAGGATGGAGTGGACTGCAGTTGGGTTCACCTTGAGCACAACCCTGCCCAGAAAAATGTAGTATTACTGACACTGCTAAACAAAGAGATATGTATACTGGTTGGTTATGCGATCTTACCTTGGCCAATCAAATTTTACACTTTCAGATGTTGTCATGTCTCCATCCATCGTGTGTGACACTCTGAGGAACCGGGCAGCTGTTTGATCGTCCTCTTCCTGGAACCTCCCTGTGCAAACGGGTAAAAGTAAAAACAATTCAAGTCCAAGTCAACAGACAATTAAATCTTCAGAGGAGCTTTTGAAATCTTGACACACCAGTGAGTTCCTTAAAAGTGAGCTCCATTTTGGTTTGGTCAGGTGAATTGCCACCCATGAATTCGGTTTTCAATTCCAGCTCTTCCAGCTCCAAGTACAGCGTTTCTTTCTGTAGCGACTTCTTGAACCAAGGGCCCCTCTCTTGATCTGAACGCAGATCAGGGATGGGGAAGCGCACAGCAATGCCCAGCACTGGTGCATTAATTGTCAGTGACACATGACAGTTGGCAGGAGTATGGCTGTCATCAAGGAAAACCTCTGTAAAAGCCTTGTGCTGTGAAATTTATGAAGAAAGCCAAAGATGTAGATTAGATGACTTTCATATATGCAAAGTACAAAGAATTGTGAATTTTCTATGTATTGACTTACTGTTTGTTTTTTGTAGGAGAAAAGCAGTTTGTGCCTACACTAAAACCTCAATGTCAGAACATATACACAAAAAGCATAGGCTTACATGATGGACCACACTTACCAAGCTGACAGGTTTATTGTAAGATGTATACATGTGGGAGGCCATCGCCTCTGTGGTTGCTAGTTTCTGAGGCTGCAGTAGTGAGTTTAGGCGGTCTACAATACTGATGTCCAGCTCAGAGTGCACAGGACCCAGCTCCACCTGGATCTCAGCTTTCCTGGGAATGGTGCTGAGACGCACCTGGCCGCCCTGCACAGCGAGGCAAAGGGTTAAAAGTAGAGGCCAGACACTCATTGTGGAGGAACGGCATTTGATTGTTAGAGTGTTGTAGTTTCATATTGAGCTAACGGATGCAGTTACCTGAGGACCTCTGCGCTCAGCCTGTTTGTAAAGCAGGTGAAGGCAGGTGGTAAGCGGCGCATCAGCACTGGCTTTGGTGTCAAATGTCAGCAGCTGAGGTGTGAGAGAAAAACTAAAGTGAAACACTAATGTCAAGACAGCTGCACCTTTCAAGTGTTCTGTATAAATACATATACGCAGTGTTCAAACATCCAAAGCGTTATGCAGTGAGAGATGTACAAAGCTTAGGCTTGAAGGTCTCACCTCAGTATATTGAACTCCTTTTTGCGAGCCACCAATAACAGCCTCAGAGGTGAACAGACACTCTAGAAACTCCATCTGGTTCAGGGTAATGTCAGTGCTAAAAGTCCTTAAGTTGGATCCCTGCCAGTGATCATAGTTTAACTTCAGACCCTGGCCTACAAACCTGCAAACATAAGCCCAGGTGATTCAGGTGATCCGATTCATTCACATGCTCATTCCTTCAGAATACAGGAATTAGTTAAAATTAGAAGTGCACCTGAGGTGGTCATGAGGACAAGCCTGATTAAACACCGCCCGAGACTGAAGGAAAGCGGCTGGCTCAAGCTGTCCTGGGCCCACCATGCTGAAGAAGTGTGCAGCCATGGGGCCAAGAGGACTGGGAGCAGCATGTGGTGGCGGCAGCGGGTCAATGTGGAGGACTGAGACAGCCAAACTGTCCAGTGTCAACCTCAGCACCAACTCTGGCCTTGACTCATCACTGTGGGTTTTGGACGAATGGGCTGAAACACAAACAGCAAATAATGTCCAGCTACAACCATGTACATGAACACAAAGGGGGAACTGATCTTGGGAATATTTCAGCATAAGTCTTTTGATTGAACATAACCTGTTCAACAACTGCTGAAACTGTTTGTTTCACACACTGGATAAACTGAGGGTGAATGCATAATATATGTTTATGTATCTATTAATTTACTGTAGTGCTTACAAGTTTGCCTCAACAGTTTCTGAGGCAGGTGCGAATCCCGTGACTGGAGGGGAGTTTCACAAGTCTGCTTCTCTCTTTGTCGTGGTACGTCCATATATTCGTCCCACAGAGCCTACAAAACGCAGATGAAAATGAAACACTACTATTCAAAATATTTATTTGTATAACTCATTTTTCCTGTATGAGATCACTAACTACTGAGTTTCCAGACCATTCAGAGTCCTTAATCTCACCTGGTTTAAACCATATTGAACGTTTCTGTAAGCATGATCACACAAATGAAGGCTTACTGTTGCATTTGCAGAGGGAGATTCTCCTGGTGAGGCAGAGTAGTTACTGGTGAGTGACAAGTCCAAATCAACAGTGGGTGGTTCACCCAGAGGAGGCAGGGATGACAAGCTATGAGACATGTCCATGTCAGCCATGGAGAAAAACACGTCGTCTACATTAGCAAAACAAAAAAGATAAAAACAAAAACAAAAAAACAGAAAAATATTCATCAGAAGAGCTAATCAATCACCAAAATCAAAGAAAATGTAGACATTACAGGATGGTGCTTCAACTCAACCTCGACTCGACACAGTTCTGGTTGTTTGGCTTTCAAAGAGGTCAGGATCTGCTCCTGGGACGGCAGTATCCTTCTTTAGGCACCGGTTCAGTTCCATATGGAGGCGATACTCATCCTCCTGCTGTATTGGGCGATTTTTCCTATCCTTAGTCCATTCCTGTGCACCTTAAATGAAGAGTTAGAAATACACTTACATTCACAATTTCTAAATAACCCCGTAAGACCCCATCTGGTCCCAAAGTTCTCGAAAGAGAGTGGTTCTCACCTCCACCAGAGAAGGCTCCAAATAAGTCCAAAAGAAGGTGAACTTGCCGTGGGGAAAGCAGAATAATCAGTGTATCGATCTGTCCAACAACATCCAGCTGAGAAGAAAAGTTGGCAAAATTTTGTGAATATTACCCCAAAAGTCTGATACTGGATAAACAACGTGGGAAATTGTTTTCCTCGTAAATCTTTGTGATTCAAAAATAGATAATTTACCTTTGCACCAGGCATCGCTAGGTTATTTTTGAGAGTGAGGGACAACTCAATTTTGCCACAGAGGCTGCCAACCTGCACAGGTTCAAAAGGCGCTGAAGAGGATACAGGCTCTGTGAACTGGGGATGCGGCTCGCATATTATTTTTGGATTCCAGCTAGGTGAGAGTTTTGGCTCAGTTTCCTGCAAAATACAGAAAGACTTGATTAAAAAGGCCACATGCATATATACAAGTCTTACAATGTGAAATTTGCTACACTAACCGATGGAGTAGGTGACGATTTACAAGCAGCGCGAGACGCATCAGAGAACTCGTCCCAGAATACAGTAATTCCCTCCATCTGCACGTTTTTATGTGCAAACGTGGTTGGCTGATGCACATTGACACTTGAACTCTCCTCACCTGTTTCATCGCAGTACACAATCCTGAAGAGAGACGGTATTTGTCAGGGGAGATCAAGTATTAAAATACAAACTTCTCACTAAACATCAGCACCAGTACCTCCCCATGCTCAATATGTTCAAATCTTTGACCATATATACACCAATTTGAAGTATATTATCTTATTGTGGAAACTGAGGTGCCACTGACTGTCAAAAACTTACTTTTTGATTCGAATCTCAAGAGCGATTCCAGTTTTAGAATTTTCTGGAATGTGTTCGACTCTAAAAACACTGTCCAAAAATGTAACTTTGACTCTTCGCAGAACTGTGAGAGAAGAAATTTAAAAGACATTGCTTTACACAGTATTTGTGAGGTAAACCTGCTGAATGCCAAAAAACACAGAAGCAATTTACCTGTTTCTATCGTCTCTGCAAACTTCTCCAGTCCTTCAAATGGCTGGAAGCTCTCTCCCATATCATCGGTTAGTTTCTGGCTCAGGCATTCTTTAGCAAGCTGCATGCTGCTTGTCATGAAACTGGACCAGTACATGGGTTCAACGCCAGATGCTGGAAGTATAACCAGCAGTGATTACCTTACTTGTCTACTCATATGTATAAAATAAAACTGTTTACTTTTACTAATTTTAAGCTTTTTCTCAGGTGTTGTAGAGGGACAAATATATATATATATATATATATCCTTACCCACTCTTGGTCTTGGTCTGAGAACCATCTCCAAACCCTTGATTTCTAGGGCACAGTTCTCCTGCAGCAGTGCTGCCCAAGGGACTGTCAGAGAGATGGTCTGGATGAACCCTGTGATTACCTCAAAAGGAGCATCTGCAGTCTCCAGTAGCTCATTGAGTGACTGAGGAACAAAATTTAAAAAAATAAAATAAAAAAAAAAAACATTAGAGGACCTCTTGGTTTATTTAACTGATAATTTAATCTGGCGTATTTTCAGCAACACACATGCACTACACATACCCATGTATCCAGTGGAACCTGTGCAAGAGACCCAGTGCCTTGATAAAGGTCTAGACTGAGTTGATCCAGACTAAGCTTCTCCTGCAGAAAGTTGCCCAGGTACCGATGCAGGAGGTACCTGCAGGCCCGCTTTTTAATGGACTCAGAAAAAGGCCAAGGCATCTTAACTTCAGCAGATGAACAACACACAGATAGTGTAAGGCGCCCTGATGCTCTGCACGTGCAATCCTACAGCTGCTTCAACAGCTACAAATTAGTCAGTGACGTTACAGCTGTGTCATCCCGTTGACCCGTCGAGAAAGCGTGACCTCAAACATCCTTCATCACCCCCAATCTGGTACACTTGGGAGGATGTGATGACACTCGGAGATGTGTATGGGGATTGGTCCGACTCCAGTTTGCTACGCCTGCAGGAAAAACATGCAAATGGTGCCACCCCCTGTGTAATTTGACACTTGACACAACAAGTGACTTAACATAAAATACTCGAAAACAGCAAGTTAAATTAATGCTAATGCTTTAGTTTAAGGTAGTTTTAAATTGCTTGCTAGCAGCAATGAGCGTTGTAATGTAGTGCAATCTAGACTGTCGATTTTTTTTTTGTTTAAGCGTACGCTGACCCCGTTTAAAGCCGGTGCAGGCCTTGGAAATACCTGTCAGCATGTCACAAACTTGATGGCACACATTTACCCATGGCTATATTAACCTACACAAAGCTGTCACGCAACGGCAGGAACTGCGCTTTTATTGTCGGCAAGACAAAGGCAAGTCATTGAGCTAACTAGCCGGCTAGCAAATATGACGTTAGCTAGCTTACCACCTCTGTGGGAAGAGTGAGGCAGCATTAGCATTGCCGGCTAACGTCAAGCTTGGCATTTAGCATGGGTGCTAACCCTAAAACCCAACACTAACTAAAGATATCTACCCTCATACGTCAGATGCAAACTGACCAAAGCGCTGCTTAAATACACACTGATTCTATAAGCAGTCACGCGTGGGATAATTTAAAAAAAAATTGAGGATATTAGTAGAGCTGTTAAATTACCTTCTGACTGAGTTGTTTACAAACACTTTCATGACTCCGCACCAACTACACGCTCCGGGGTGGGATTAGGCAGTGATGTCATAACATGGCGGAGCTGTGTAGTCCACCGGGCACTTAGTGGGCCAAGGTTTAATATACTTTAACATAAATATAATACGCTGAAAAAAGAAAGATAGCGTCGGTTTATGTGCTTTTATCCGGCTGTGAATAAATTAGACTAACAAAAGATAGCAGCTTAACGTGAGGTGGCGCTGATTGGACTGTCCTGCCCACGGAGAGCTGGAAGCTTCCACAAGCCGGAAGAACACCGCTTGCGAGGAGGTGAGAAAAATAAACGCACTTTAGTTAGAAATTATTTTTTTTTCGTGATCTGAGTAAACCCATCAGTTAGGGTCTAAGCTAGAACTCGCTGTATAATTTTAAAGAAAGTGGCAGAAGTATGGTATGGCGGGCAGTGGTTCAGTTACGAGTTTCCCCCAAAATGTAGCAACTGTTAGCTGTTTAAATTAGCCACAGCTGATCGGACTTTATTTATAATAGCTGCTTTAAATTCGCACACTTATTCATTACCACTGACTATGATGTTTGTTTGTGGACAGGGCACAGCTAGCAATAAGGTAAGGTTACTCACAGTCCTCGAGATGTCGCTGTTACATTGCTTTTATTACTACAATCAAATACCACACACTGTGGTGCAACAGTAATTATCAGATAATGGAAAGTAGAACGCTTTATAATGGCTATATAACAGGACAAGATGCTGATGGTGCACGTTTTGTTTTATTTTTTTGCTTTTATGTTGGTGCTTTCGCTTTAAAATGCAAAAGAATAGAATAGATCTTTATTGTAACTGTTACAATAACAATGAAACACAGTTTGGCATGTCTCCGTTGGCAGTTTGTAGATTTTCATTCAGATTCTTTTTATTCAGAGTTTTCTGTGTTTCTCTAAAGTTTTCTTGAGCAACAGTTTTCCAGGTTTTCTAAAAGTCTTTGTGGTGCATGCATACTGTCATTCCTTGCTGCTGGCCTTTGTTCCGACCAATACAATTTCTGAAGTAAGCAGTTTTCGAGTATGTCTCATGACCACCACTTAAATTTCTAAGTTCCTTGTATTTGATCATTTCTATGTTATGCTATTTTTACATTTATTATATTACAGTAGTGTGCAAAGGTCGTGTGTCACCCTCATTTTCTCATATTTTGATTCCAAGGAGACAGACCTTCTTCCTTTTTTAAAGTGGTCTTGAACAAAAAATCTTCAGTCTGCAGGCAGATTTTTCTTTTGACACTTGGCTGCTCTTCCTTCCTTTCTTTCTTTCTTTACTAAACCATTTCACACTGACTCTGAAATCATTCAACCATAAAAATGCACATAATTCAAGGTATGAACTAACTAAAGAGCAGACATAACTGGCTGCACGTAACAAATGACTTGGCAAAGAACCAATTTTAAATTGTATCTTGAGGCTCTTTGCTGCTAGCAGTCTGTCAGGAAAACACATAGTCATCAGAAATTATCTCAGTGGAAGTGTGGCTGTCGAGAGGCCATTCTTAAGGAAGGCAAACAGGGAAAACTGCTGAGGTATGATAGTTTAAATCAGAGAAGGACAGCAGTGAGTATCTACAGCCATCTGTGAAACACTGTGGAGGCTCTGTCATGGTTTGGGGGGTGCATTTCAGCCAGTGGTGTTGTGGATCTTGTCAAAATACATGAAATTATGAACACAGAAAAGTACTTGCAGATTTTGGTCTACTAGCTTTTTAACAGATTCATTTTTTTTAGCATGGCAGTGATCCCAAACACACTGCCAATGAAGTAAAAGCGTACCTGAATAGAAAAACATACGATTACAAGACTGTCAGTGAAGGATTGGCCTCCCCAGAGAGGACCTCAACATAATTGAAGCATTTTGGGATCATCTCGACAGAGAGTAGAACAAAAGGCAGCCAACATAGAGAGAAAAGCTTTAAATGCCCTTTAAGAAGCCTGTTCTACTACTTAAAGAAATTACAAAAAAATATTGACTTTCAAACTTCTTTTCACCTTATATACTGCATTTCCATGTGTCTTTGCACATGTTTCAATTAATCACTCCACCTTCCCATTTTTCTGGCAAACTGTTGAAAAATGAGGAGTGGCTGTAGACATCTGTAGACATTTTTTTATAAGCAAATAGGACTATACACTAATTTGTTTGTACACAATTAGAATTTATTCCAATAATTTTAATCACTAGCATTTTTACTACCTCAGTGGTTTGGTGGATAAACCTTATAATCTAAGGTTTATAAGATATTTTGCCAAAAACCTAGTCTTAAAACATTTTGGTTAGCAGAAAACTAAAAAACTGTACTCTTCCTGGTTCAAGAATGGTATTTAATGTCCATTATTCTACTTTCTCATCCCATAAAAATCATTCTCTGTGTTTTTAACATCGAAGGTATGGATTAGGTCAAGGCTGCTTTCCATACAGGCATCAAGCCACCCGTGTGAATGATGAAAAACCAGTTAGGAACCACGAGACAGCAAGATATGCAGGAAAAAAAGCGTCTAATGTTATGCAGCTTGACGTAAACGTGGTGTGACAAAACCGAACTTGCGCAACAAATACCTGTTGCCACGGAGCAAGTCGAACACGTGATACGTTGAGTAGTTTTTACTGATTCGTATGGTACGGTTTCAGCTTTCAGTCAAATTTGAAAATTAAAATAAAAGCCTGTAAAAGTTTGTAAATCTGTCCAGTTGAGCACTGGGAAACACTGACACCACCATCAATCAAAATTTGCTGTTTTGTGTTGCCGGGAGCAACACAACCATTCTTGTGTCGAGGGAGTGTTTTAAAGTTCCCTCAGCTGACAACAGATTGAGAAATCCCCTTCAGATACGTGTCTGGTGCAATGTTTTCCTTCTCAGAGGAGCTGTATTGAACTCTGGAAGTGAAGCAAACATTTAAAATTGTCCAGTGGTTGCTCCAAAAAATACAGGTTTAACCTTTAGTCACACAGTCAGCTCCTACAGGATGCTAAGTATTCAAAATACACGTCAGATCCTCATGTTTCACTTCTGCTTTAGACATGGTGAGATACACTGTCACAGGAAGATCAGAGGTGACACACACAGATGTGTTTTTGTCTGTAGCCCTGGTGACCTGTCCGGGGTGTAACCTCCCTCTCACTCTATGCAGGGACATGCCCCAGTCCCATTGTGACCCTGAGTTGGATAAGTAGAAGAAAATGGGTGGATGGTCAGCTTTGTGTTTCCTAAAAAAGTCTTAAAGTCTAAAACCAACCAAACTGAATTGTAAGACTAGGCATCTCTTAACCTTCTAACATCCACCAGCTCATGATCAGACTTGGCTTTGGTTTAGTTATATCCTGTATAAAGAGGTTGTTTTTCTTTAGAACTTAATTTTTTATTAACACCTAAGCAGCTTGTACAGATTCCACCAATGACAGACTGTTTTTAATAATCAGATAAAGACACAAAAACTGGGGGCCAAAGCACAGAGACGGATACGTGAAATGAAGGTTGCATGCTAACAGCTAAACACAGATTTGGCACATACTGGCTTCATTGTTTAAATATCATAGAAATATGGCTCTATCATTAGATAAATAAATCTTTCTAGGATCTTAAGGTTATTTTTTGATCAGATAGATTCCCCATATGGTATGTTGGCAGATCTAGTTTTAACTTTATAATCATGATGCGTTTAATTGCTGCTGTCAAAAATAATCATAACAGACGTTTACTAGCTAATCCTTCAAAACCTGCTGGAATTCACCTGAGCAATGCAAACTTTGTCCCTTTTACAACATTTTTGGTGAACTATGTATCTAATTTTGGACGTGACCAGTGAGTCCCAGTTTGTGTACCTCATTTACTTCAGAAGATATTTCGGATACCTTGGGCGTTTTGACTTCTCTCCGTGAGTTTGAGTTTATGCTTCACTGCATATTTCATCCCATTTATGTGACTGGAATTTTTGTTTCTAAATTAGCATCCCGTTTCCTTTTTTAAAGCCTTTTTTTCCTTTGTTCATTATGATTGTTTCGTTTTTTTCTTTTTGTTAAATTAAACTAATCTGGTATTTTAAAATGCAAAAGAGATCCTCACGGGTCAAAATCTTGGTTAGCAGTTTAGGTTAGTAAAGGCCCTTAAGATATTCAATTCACAATGATATCAAATGATTAACTCTAGAATTCAGATTTTATTCAATGTCTTTTTTTTAGTTCTTTTTGTTAGCATAGTCTGAAACTAATTAATCTTCTCAAAAATCTTGAATGTAACCTCTAAAAACCACCATTTTTCAATTTTTATGCCCATCACACTTGAATCAACCAATGCTGTTGTTTTAACGTGTTATAGGGGATGGAGGTAGACTGCCAGGCTGAGGAGTCCATGGTCTCTGCTTTTGATGAAGAGTCTGTTGAGCTCGGAGACGTCAAGGACATGAGACTAGAGGCTGAAGCAGTGGTCAACGACGTCCTCTTTGCTGTGTCTGAAATGCACGTGTCACAAAGTCTCAACAGCGCGTCCGACGTGGCCTACATAAATGTGGAAACAAGAGAGGGAAACCGTTACTGTCTGGAGCTCACCGAAGCTGGGCTGAGGGTGAGACGATGCAGTGACACGTTACCCACGTGCGTTCACTTTTAAGACTCCAAACCGTGCAGAGGTTTTACAGTAAATCACTGATTTCTTCCCAAACAGGTGGTGGGCTACGCATTCGATCAAGTGGACGAGAATTTGACGACTCAGTATCACGAGACTGTTTACTCGCTCCTAGACACGCTCAGTCCGGGTTACAGAGAAGCCTTTGGGAATGCTTTGCTCCAGCGGCTGGAGAAGCTGAAGCAAAACGGACAATGAAAAGGACCAAGATGCTGCATACATTGTACACGTGACACGGGGGTTGATGATGACGGCAATGTTTGAGTATGAGCCAACACTAAGTTTGTTCATATACTTTATCCGGTTATGTGATATCCAACTGCTTAGCTCCCATACAATAAGGGATACCCAACTACGACTGCTTTTGTTCTAAGTTTCATGCCAT